CAACTTATACGCTCAAGTGTCAGTGTCACAAGTCAACTTGATTTAATCACTGCAATGTTCATTCTCTTCACGTCACATCATTCATTTAACATAAGACAATTTGTAAGAATAGTAATCAGTGAATCAAATTTTACTTACCATTTCTAACCTTTAAATTAATTTAAAATTTTATAGATTATTATTATTATTATTGCATTTAATCACAAGAGTTTGGGGATCAAATTTTAGCCATAATTAACATATAAACTCCTTCGTATTCTTCCATGATAATTAGATTTTATTTTATTTTATTACTACTCTTGTTTCAAGTTTGAGCAACAAATGAATAATTCCTATTCCCAAAATCTCAGACTTAGCAAAGTTAATCTGTACTCTTATCTTGGCTAAAACAAGATAGAATTTGCCTAATGCATTATTTGCCTAATGCATTTTCTCTGCATTAGGTCAGTTTCGATATGAAAACGACTTTGATTTTTTGCAACCTAGTGTGAAATAGGGAAAGATGCTAGATGTTTTCATAGAGTACTATCATAAAAGTTTCTTAGGGGAACATGCTGAACGTTTTCATGTAGTACTATCACTATTATGATGTTTTATATCAAATCGCACTATGAAATTTCCATCTCATTCATGTCATTGTTGATGGTATGTTGCTTTTGAGCTTTCACGATTCACCATTTCTAACCTTTAAATTAATTTAAAATTTTATAGAATATATATATATATATATATATTAGGCATTATTAACATATAATCTCCGTCATATCCTTTCATGATATTTAGGTTTTATTTTACTTTATTACTACTCTTGTTTCAAATTTGAGCAAAAAATGAATAAATTCAATTTCTAAAATCTCAAACTTAGTGAAGATCATTTGAGCTCTTATCTGGACTAAAATAAGTAATATATATATATATTACTTATTTTAGTCAAGATAATATATATATATATATTTGACAGTAGTGTCCAAGACTTTGCCCGACTAATCCGCAGGCCACAGGCACCAACCCCTCAACACGTGCAGTGAATAAGTAATAATTTGCCTAGCACGTTTTCTTTGCATTAGGTCATTTTTCCTGCAAAAACAGCTTTGATATTTTACAACCTAGTGTGAATTCAATTATATGTCAATAAAAATTTCTTGGGGGAAGATTCTAAATGTTTTCATGTAGGACTATCACTATTATGATGTTTTCTATCAAATCGTACTATGAATTTTCCAACCCAATCATGTTATTGTTGATGGTACGTTTTGAGCTTTAATCAAATCAACCCAATTTTTTATTAATGAGTGTGAAGGATATTTTTTGTAACTCGGATGTGATAGATTGAAAAATTAAGTTTAAAGTTCAAATTGGTCTAAAATCATACTTAGATCTTATTTGGATGGAGGGAATTGGAAAGAAAAAAAAAAAAAAAAAAAAAAAAAAAAAAAAAAAAAAAAAAGTAAAGAGTTTGTTTACAAAATGAGAAAAGAAAAGGGAAAATTAAGAGAAAAAATGATAAATATTATATTTTGTATATTTTGTCCATCCTTCTTGTTTTGGGAGGATTTGAAGTGAAAGGAGAAAAAAGTTTTTTCTCAATGAAATCTCATTTCGATTATACAATTCATAAAATTATAAAAAAATAAAAAAAAAAATCTTTTCACTTTTTCTAAATAAGATAAAATTTACAAACACCCTTCTCTTCCTAAATAATGAAATACAAGGAGAGTTTGGATTTTTTTTCTTTCTTTGTTTGTTTTCTTTTCTCATTATCCAAACGGATAACAAAGGTATCCATTGGAGTTCAGATAATCCGAGAGCGTCCTGATCCAATTGTGTGAGCGATCCACCATAAACATGAAACGTGGCGATATCCTATTCGTGTGGTGGTCATCCAGTCGAATCCAACGTGGACCATTCTTTTTCTATCCAATTAGACACGTGCTCACGTGGCATTCAACTCGGTGGGTCCCCACCATACCGACATGCCGGCTTTAGCCACCTACACCCAGCCGACTATGTGACGCAACCAACACACCAACTGCTGACGCGTATCACCACCTTATCTGGAGATCGGACGGCTCAGAACTAGCCACCTTCTCTTTCTGCCTCTGATCAGTGGATCAAGGGGTTTCTTGCAAAACCGCCATGTCTTTTTGATTTTTCCAAAATGGTCTCTTGTGTTTTGGTATTTTCATACTTTCCTAAGTCTTACAAGGGTCTTCTATGTTTATCCTTTGTGTCGACTTCTGATCCTAAATATAGTGTTCTCTCATTTTAAAGTCAATGTCCATCAAATGTTTTTATTTTTTTTTTTATTTTACCAGTTATACTTATTTTCCTTGTAATTAGAATGATGAAAGAAAAGATGGAATGAATTAATAAGATATTCAAATGTAAGAAAAGGTATATGTCTTATTTTTTTACTTCGTATTTAATTGAATGAAATGAATGATATAATTTTTTTATCAATATATTCTCATTATATAAAATTTTAAAAATTATATATTCATTTCAATTTTTTAAAAAGATTAAAAATAAAAATTAAATATTAATCATTCTCTTTGCTTCCTTCCTCTTTTCTCTGATCACACAAAAAAAATAAAAATAAAAATAAATAAAATCTTTTATTTCCCCTCCACCACTCCTAAATCATTCTCTCCAACCAAACATAAAATTAATAGAGAGTAAACTTGATAGTTCCTTCCATACACATTTTACTAATAATATCCTAATTAATGGAAGATATTTGATCACATTCAAGTGCCATCTTTAACTGGTTTTATAATTTATGTTGAGATAATTTAATATGTATTTATTTATTATAATTATAAGACCATTTTGTATGGACGCTAGTGATGATGTGAATGGTTCATTATCTTTCATATATAAACTGTATACACTTAAAGATAACCCGTAAAAAAATAAAATAAAATAAAATAATAATGAGGTTGACCGATGACAATAATGATAGACTTGCTTAAAAGCATTAAATATTGCCCAATCATTACTTAGTATAATATTTGTGGTTCTAAAAGTCAAGGTTGTGAAATTTGTTACATTTAATATGCTGTTGCAAATTAGGATGGCAGATCTGGACCAAATCCAATAATTAATGGGTTTTTTAGAAGGATAAAAATAAAAAACTTATACTTTTTAAGATTCTCCACACAGTATACAGTAGTCTAGCAAAATTATAGTTTGGAGCACCATAAAAATTAGAGAAATTTAACGCATAAGATGCACGTTGGTAATACTGGGTATATTTTTTGTATTAATTTTTTTACTAATGGAATGCATCCGAATCCAATCCAATTTTTGTATTAAATTTTTTTCAATAATTCGATAATGATACGAATCCGAAAATATGTTAATTTAACAAATCGGATATGAATTTTAAGTAATTCAATCCCATTAAAATTATATATATATATATATTTCCTCTGTCCCAAAATAAATTGTGAGACACAGATTCCCAAAAGAAACATTATTTTTTGGACATAGGGAGTATATAATTATATTACAATATACTATACATTAATGTGATTATATACACGAGTATTAGTTATCTAAAATTAAATTTATATATATTAATTATTTATCAATATATTCATTTGATTAAATAATTATATTATGCACCATCCTATTCATTGACTATTATCCACTCCATCTAACCTTATATAATTATATATGCTAGTAATATGATTTTAATCTAAATTTGAATGTGATCCGATCGATCCCGAATTCGAACTAAATAATATATGAATTAAAACATTCAATCTAATAACTCGGATCAATTAGCTTAACGAATCGAATATGACTTTGGATTTGATTTATCCAATTCGCTGACAGACCTACTTCTAACATGATTAGCTTTTTAAATACATAGAATTGTAAGAGAAAACAAACCTCAGTTCAAATGTTTTTGCACCTTATGAAATTTGAATTAGAGACATTCGAGTTTAGGGCTTACTCATGAGATCCTGTAATTACTGAGGGATCCCATGGAAATTAAAATGCATCCAATGTTAACAGTACCCTCTTTAGTTTATACATACGAAGCACATACATTGCTACGAAGGAGCCGTACCTGTGTTGTGTCCATGTCAGATACTGACACTCATCGAACACTCTTCGAGCACGTGTCTAATACTTTATATACGTGTCTGTAAATAAAAATAATTTTTTATTATTTTTGACACTTTCCCAACATTTCTAGACAATTCACCAACATTTTTTGGACACTAGGATGACACTTTCAAACATTTATAACACAAGTCTACATAATCTTGAAAATAATATGAACACATTCTAAAATGTTCAACTTTTCTCTTTAATAAAAATTGACGTTATACAAATGATCACAAGCGAAACATTAAATAACTAAATGATCTTTGTTCATTTAAAATAAAAATACTATTATGATAAAGTAGTGCAATAACTATATATATATATATATATATATATATATATGATATAAAAATCATTATAACTCTTAACATAAATTTAGAAATAAATTAAAGTTTTATAATATTATTATTACTCAATACATATATATAAATAAAAATTCATATTTATATATATGCAGCCCATGCTTGGTGGAGGATGGGGAAGGACAGCCAGTATAAATAAAAATTCATATTTATATATAGCCATGTCCAATTCGTCTTCTATTTTTTAAAAGTTTGATGCGTTATCCATGTCGTGTTATATTCGTATTTCGCATCCGTATCCATTCTACATGGGTTTATACTAATTAGTTTTGTTTAGAAAAACTATTATTGAAGGTAAAGGTGGGCTAATAATTTCATTAATGGATGAGTGATGACATGATTAGGAGTATATTACAATACAAAAAATAAATATTACAATAGAAAAAGAAAACAAAATATTTCAATTTAACACAACTAACACGTGGTGTATTGAAAATACCGAAAATAGAAGAGGCAACTTAGGAATACATATGAAAAACAAGGACTTTGAAAAATTGTCTTTTTAAAATGATCGAAGGAATTGAAAAGTCCGATCATGGAAAGAGAGAGAACGAATGAACCAAAAGCCGTCGCCGTTTAGTTGCTTCTGACTGAACCTCTGCCTCTCTTTTTTGTCTACAGATTCTTCTTCTTGTTCATTTTCTCTCTCCTCCTATTTATATTTATATATTGGCATATACGCACTCTCTCTCTCAATTTCTCTCTATCTCTCTACATCTCTGATCTCTATCTCTCATGGCGGAGTCGGTGGAGCTACCAAGTCGACTGGCGATTCTTCCCTTCAGGAACAAGGTGTTGTTGCCTGGAGCAATCATTCGAATTCGTTGCACCTCACCGAGCAGGTACTTTCTCTCTCGCTCTTCTCGGGAAAATCTGACTTTCATGAGAATATGTTATGGAGTTTTTTAATTTCATAAAGATGCAATTCATTTGATTGCAGAGAAAACCTAGGAAAGTAAATGATAATTTTGAAACGAATGATTAGTTTCGAGTTAGAATTTTTATCGAATTAGAAGATTCGAAGTCTGTTTTTTGGTTCTACAAACTCTGAATTTGATTATTTTTAGCTACGTTGTGATAAATTTTCTCGAAGGCTTTCTGGTTCAAGTTTAAGTTAATTCTCAGTTTGGTCGGCGAGAAATGGTGGATAAGAAAGGAAAACTCTCAAGCAATCAATCAATTAATAATGAATTGGAGCATATTATTGTTCTTATAGTTCTCAAACATTGTGTTGGAATTTGGAATGGAAGTAACTGTATTTTTTATTCATCTGTTCCAATTGGAGAATACCAGTATCAGTGAATGTCTTCATTTATTTATTTATTGGGTTGCCATGAAGGAGTGGAGTTTTTAGGGGTAAATAATTACTTTTTCATAAATATGACTGAATTTACTCCATCGATATCTCTCTCTGGGATCCATTGTTGTTGGAATTCGGTGTTTGTAAGCATTATGTAGCTTTTGGATCACAATCTGTTTCTGGAAATTGCACATCAACTGGGTTTATATAATGCTGTTGCAATGGCTTTACAGTCCCATGCGCACCCACACATTTAATACCACTTTTTATTTATTAAAGATTTGAAAGCAATGAAAACAGTGTTCTGATTTATGTAGTGTGAAACTGGTGGAGCAAGAGTTATGGCAGAGGGAAGAAAAGGGGTTAATTGGGATTCTTCCGGTAAGGGATTCTGCCGAGACGACAACAGTGAGTCCCATGTTATCCTCAGGTGATTATGAGTTACTCTTACGTGCTGAGTGTTGATGATTAAGTTCTAGTTTTGTGTTTATTGGTATGTATTAAAGGAAATAAAATCTAAATTCCGCCTTAGGTGTAGGGACTGAGTTGGGAGAGCGGAGCTCAAAACCCCAAGTTGGTGTGTCAGATTCCCACAAGGTTGATGGGAAAAATCAACAGGAAGTTATTCACTGGCATACCAGGTATATATTGATAGAGCATCAGTTTCAGTGGCGTAGTTTCATGTTCTGGAAAAGCCAATTCTTGTGACTTCTAATTCCATTTAACTGTTCATGCTTGCGTTGATAATTGCTTGTGTTGGATTTGCCTTCCATTTCAGTTAACACAGCTTAATATATTTTGTTCGGTGTTCGCATTTCCCTTTCTTGTAAATCGAGTTGTTACCTTGATAGTGGGTTACACTTGAATTTCAACCTTCAGGGGAGTTGCGGCTCGAGCTTTACATCTGTCAAGAGGAGTAGAGAAACCAAGCGGGAGGGTCACGTACATAGTTGTCCTTGAAGGTTTGTGCAGATTCAGTGTCCAGGAGCTTAGCACAAGAGGAACATATTATACTGCACGGATTGCCCCTCTTGATATGACAAAGGCGGGTATGTTAATATTTCCTTTAGAAATATGTTTAAATAAAAGATGCTGTCTTTTACCATTAATGTCATGCAGTTAATGTACTTCCTTTTTTTTTTTTTAGAACTGGCATGTAGTTACACTGCCTTCTATTTTTCGGTAGGATATTGTTATGAATCTTAACCTAATTATTAATTGTAGACGTGTTAGTACTCAAAAAAATATTGTGCCTAGACTAAGGGTCTAATATGTGCAGAAGGATATTGAGCCCTACTCATGGGGCATGGTTTTCTTACACTAGGCTGTGGAGTTTTTGATATTTTCTTTTGAGACATTGACTTGAAGACCATGGAATTTTTTTGTTGCAATATGCGAAGTTGGGTAGGTTTGACAGATTCTGGTGCTTTTTTGATTCATCGAATTGCTCAATCGTATAACACAGGAAAACAACTAAATCTTTCTGGATAATTTTTCTTCGTTTATGACCTAGGTTAAATCGAATTGTGTAATATTGCATGCCTGTCATGTCTGCTTCACCTATAGAGATTTTTTGATAGGAAGATTGAGAAAGTAGATTAGGAAACTCGTTATTTATCTGTGCACACATATAGATTATATGTCCAAAGATAGTTGCACTGAATTCATGCCCTTGCCTGTTTTATTTTCCTCGATGAGGAAAAAGTTTGTTTCTGATTGGAACTTTGTAAAGAGGTCATTTTTATTCACCTTGGCGAGGAAAAGTGGTTGGTTTCTTGTCAGGACTTTATTTTCTGTAATTCTCTGTGCTGTAGTTATATTGTACTTGTTATTATTTTTCTTGTTTCAGTAAGGAAAATAATCCATGGAATGATTTATTTTTAGTGAGAACATTTAACATGAGTGTTGTTTTAGGTATATAGATAATTTTTTTAGTGTTTTCTTTAATGCTATTAGGCAGTCACACCAGTTTTGAGGCCATACTAACTTGGGTACCTTTTAAGAACCATTTCAACACTTAATTCTGTAAGTGTTTATTCAATTAAATGCACTTGATAATGCATTCTAAATATCACTTATGAAAACAAGTGCCAGTTAAACTATGATAAAATTTTAAGTGACAGTGATTTCGCTTACCTCTGAAGTCGGAACACTCAAAATCCAAAAAGAACATCAAAAATAAAAATCTATATGTACAAACAGTAACTTAGCCTCACTGAAGGGATGTAGTTTCGAAGTCTTATTAAGTTGCCAATAAGGCAATTATTCTTATTTTTCTATGAAGACATATACATCATGTATATTTGTCCTTCCACTATATACAAATTATGTTTCTGTTTGTGTGCTCTAAATTTGTGAAGTGTAGAGAACTAGCTTTCAGTCCTGATCTGTCAAGATGCTAATTTGCTTCCATTTTCCTAATCTGAGCCAGAGATGGAGCAAGTGGAGCAAGAACCAGATTTTATAGTGTTGTCTCGTCAGTTTAAGGCTACTGCTATGGAGCTTATCTCTGTTCTTGAGCAGGTAAAACTTGAAATTTAAGTTTTTCTTTCTTTTTCGTTCTTTTTACTGGAAATCTCTTGGGTATTGTGCTCGTGAGTACTTGAGCAGGTAAAACTTGAAATTTAAGTTTTTCTTTCTTTTTCAAATTTTTTTTTTTTACTGGAAATCTCTTGGGTATTGCACTCATCAATGTGCTCATGAGTATTCTCTCTCTCTCATTACTGTTCGTTCCAATTGTTATCAATTGCTTGTCCACTTTGGGTTGGTTTGACTGTCTACAGAAACAGTCTGAGTGTTTCTCATATGAATACTTCTTGTGCATATAAATTTTGTTGATTTGATTTGATAATCTCATTTAATTCCCCAAAGCCACCAATTTTGTTAATGTACCCTTTTTCATACAAACATCATTGTTTTGAATGTTGAGATGGAATAAACAAGACTTCTAATCCGATTTTTTATTTTTATTTTTTTCCTGATGGGTCAATCTTTTCAGTTGTGAGAAGGCTTTCTATTGTTTCCTATAGATGTAGTTTCATTATTACTTCCCAGTGTGATTTCCAAAATGATTTATTATGGCAAAATAAGAGGCTAAACTTCAATAAAATTGTTACGTTTCCTGCTAGGAAGAATTAAACTAACGGTACCCAGATTGAAAACATTTGAATTTAAGTTACCGAATTTCTGAATTGTTTTATTTTTCTTCCATTGTTTCTTGCTAGGAAGCACGGACACGCCTAAAATGGCGAAGAATCCGTGTCCGACATGTGCCGGACACGCCAAAATCCGAGTCTGGAAAAAAAATTTTTAAAAAAATTTCGGACACTCGGCGGACACGCCATTGCAATGTGTCCGACATGCGTGTCCTATTTTGGGGGTCCGACAAGGCGTGTCTTCTTTTCATTTTCATCTTTTTTTGATGAATTTGTTTTCCTCTTCTTCATTCTTGATATAACTTCAGCTGTTGCATGTGACTTGTGATGAAATATGAATAAATTCTTGATTTAATTTTAGCTGTTGCGAGTCTGTGACTTACTGACTTGTAAAGGCATATGAATATATTTCCTTCTTTCTTTGATGAGTTGTTCACTGCTGGTCTTTCTTTTGCTGACTGCCGTGCTTACTGTTTTCTTTGCTGACTGCTGTAACTATGGTTAAACAATCACGAATGTTATGACTATACTATTGTATTTGGAGTAAAGTTGCAATGATGATTAAATGATACAAGTTATCATTCTAATGTCTTGTTTTTTATTTGGTTTATGATTTAGTGACATTGTTCTCTTATAGTTCATTAGTTATGACTTGTGTATTTTTTTCATTGTGAGGTTGATGAAAAATAGTAACATACTTAATTTTTAAAGTACTACATCACATATATAAATATATATATATATAAATGTTATTCGTCGGTCCCATCCGTATCCGTGTCCTAATTTTTTAGGATTTGCCGTATTGCCGTATCCGTGTCATGTCGTATCCGTGTCCGTGCTTCTTAGGTTTCTTGAAATTTGAACCCTTTACCTCCCTCTTTGAATGGTGCCACGAATATGTCTCAAGTAAACAGCTGGTGGTCTGGACTTCTGAAAAAAATACTTCTTCCTTGGCAAGCAAGGTTCACCAAAAAACCAAAATTTAAAAATCTTGACACTTACATTGTATTATTAGGATGTAAATTAATTGCTTTTTGGCAACGAGCTTATAAATCCTTTTGTTGAAGATATTTGAAGGGATTCTTATCTTAATATCATTTTGAGGATTTCTTCCTTTTAGAATCACGTTGTTTGTCAATTGTGAGTTTGCTAAACTGGCATGACACTATTTAGTTGGAGAATGTCCATAATTCTGTCACAGCGATGACAACAACAATGACAATGTGAACAGATAGTTTGTTTATTCTTTTGATTACTCTGAAATTATCATGTATTTAATTCTTCTTGTGATGTATTCGGTGTGCCATTCCTATCAGCCTGTCATGGTTTCATTTCTTTTTGTAGAAACAAAAAACTGGTGGGAGGACAAAAGTTCTTTTGGAGACGGTTCCTGTGCACAAATTGGCAGATATTTTTGTTGCAAGCTTTGAGATAAGCTTTGAAGAGCAGCTATCCATGTTGGATTCTGTTGATGTGAAAGTTAGAATTTCAAAAGCTATTGAGTTAGTTGACAGGCATTTACAGGTAATAGATGAATTAAGTGGTGGATGTATACATCTTTTATTTTCTATTATTTCTCTTGGCCATATGCAGTCACAAGCCATGTAAACAATTGTTTATTTGCGACAGTCAATTCGTGTGGCAGAGAAGATTACACAAAAGGTTGAGGGGCAATTGTCAAAGTCACAGAAAGAATTTCTTCTTCGTCAGCAGGTATTTTTTTATTTTTTTATTTTTTTTCTTCTAACATCAGCTACAGATATTTCTTCAGGAGTGTACAAATAGGTTTTGAAGTATGTCATTCTCTAGAATTTTCCCGGAGACGCTTAAGAAAACTCCTTAAGCTGCAGCCTTTTTGGCTTAGATCTCTTGAGCCTCACACCTCCACTTGCGAGATGCATGTGAACACCACTTTAATTGGATTTTCCTTGTATATGAAGCTTTCATGTCACATATCCAACAAATATTCAATTCACATTACAAAATTAGAACTTCATAAATTAAATATTTTTTATGTTTTACATATGTTCATTTGAAACTAGATTTCTCCCCATTTGTATCCCTCCTTAAAGATGTTCACGGTCAAAACTAGAAAGGTTTTGCCTTTGCAGTGTAGTTATAGGTACATCTTGCTTATCTTTTCTGGAGTCCCATGGCATAGGAGTTGAGAACCACATATATGGAAATCGTGATGTCTTCGCTTTCAAAACAACGACCACAATTCAAAGGGAGCTTTTAATGGATCTACATTAACACTCATTTCTTGTAGCCGATGGGCATTGGTTCTAAGTTCATCCCTAGTTTCCTTGAGAACCATTTTTTACTATTATAAAGGGAGTTTTTTTTTTGATAAATCTTTTATCTATGTCCATTAAATGGGTTATTATATTGGATATTTTAAAAACATGTTGACTATTTGGGGCATAATCTCAATCAGGCCTATCTATAAACCTCATTTGTCTACTCTATTTGGAATATGTTACAGATGAGAGCTATAAAAGAGGAACTTGGTGACAATGACGATGATGAGGATGATGTGGCTGCTCTGGAAAGAAAGATGCAAAGTGCAGGAATGCCTCCTAATATTTGGAAGCATGCACAGAGGGAATTAAGGTATAATATTTCCAAAAAAAAAAAAAGTAACAAAGGTTGATGATAAGACTGTTTAGATCATGTTCTTCAATGTGGCACATAAAATCAATCATGCTTTGCTATATAAATCTTATCATTCATTGTCCATATTTGTTGATGATTTTTGGATTCAGACAAATTGCACATTCTGATATGGTAGGAGGCAGCTTGACATGGCATTGCTGGTAGACAGAGGAACAAAAATACTTTGTTTTATATCTGTGAAATTACCAGGTTAAAAATAAAAATTTCTCTTTGTTAGAGTCTTGTGTGCATGCAGAAGAAATCTAGAGAGAGAGTGGAGAATTAACTAATGTATGCATGCACAACTAATTTCTTGTTATGCACATTAGGAAAGTAAAATTCTGTTGTTAACAGATATGTTTTGTTGGTGTTGTGTTAATAAATTTATGACTCACCTACTGCTTATGAGAAGTTCCTTACCTATGATATATAATTGTTTTTTGACAAATCAAGTGTCGGAATCTTGAACAGCTTGAGCTGTACGAATTTAGTTATATAGAATTTCAAGTCCAATTAAATTAATGAAAGAACTATAGTACTGGTTTATAATGAGATGTGCTACGGTACACATATGTTGGTTTCTGGGTATCCTATCCGCTTTAGTGTGTTAAGGATGTTTAGGCTCAAGAGAGGTTAAAGTTTAAAGACGGATAAAAGGAGGATCAGTTATTTGTTATCTTAGTATTGTTCTTATCACATGGACAATTGAAACTGGAGTATAAACAAATTCATAATTTTGCATTTGCTACAATTTCATGCCACCTCCCTGGTACTTTTTCTGTGTCAGAGATTTTTGCTACTTCTCCTTAATTCAACACTAAGCTGGTAATTAGTAGTGGAGTTGTGAGATACCGCATCATCCTTTATAAATAAGACCCGTAATGTCTTTGTTGTCTTTGTGGTGATTATCTACATAACGGAATGATTTTGCTGAAGACCTGATATGCGACAAACTTCAACCTGATCCTTGCACTTAGCGCTTGGGTTAGATGTGGGATTTTGTTTTTAAGTTACCGGAGCTTTCTTTTAATTTCTGCGGCAAATTCTTATATCAGGAGACTTAAAAAGATGCAACCTCAGCAGCCTGGATATAATAGTTCTCGTGTTTACCTGGAGCTTCTTGCTGATCTACCCTGGCAGAAGGCCAGTGAAGAACAACATTTGGACTTGAGGGCTGCAAAAGAGCGTCTTGACAGCGACCACTACGGCTTAGTCAAGGTCAAGCAACGAATAATTGAATATCTAGCTGTCCGCAAGGTTGACCAATTATCTTGTTCTTGTTGCTTTGAATATGTCGCAGATGTTCTGATTGTTGAAATCTAATGTGACTTTGATTTGAAATATCTGCTTTTCAGCTCAAACCAGATGCAAGAGGCCCAGTGTTATGCTTTGTTGGCCCACCAGGAGTTGGGAAAACATCATTAGCATCATCCATTGCTGCTGCTCTTGGCAGAAAATTTGTACGCATATCCCTTGGTGGTGTTAAGGATGAGGCTGATATCAGAGGGCATAGGAGGACATATATTGGAAGCATGCCGGGGCGTCTTATTGATGGATTGAAGGTTGAAACTGTTTTGATGATAGAATCTTGCTTCAGAAGTTACAGTTAATTGTTTATTATCTGCTTCATTACATACTTTTGCACTGTATTTTTGAGTTAGGAAGTGCTAAATTGTGTGGGCGTTTACATAGAATGACATCTAAGGGATTTGGACTAGTCTTGTGGAGATTTCGCTCCATGCATGCGCACATGGTGCTTGGGAGTTGGGGAGGCAGAGTAAGGACAGATGGAATATAGAAGTTGCGCAATCAATAAGTGATCACATAGTTACAGAAAGTGATCCTTCTACGCGTTCCAAAATAAATATTATTGTGCACAAAAACTGGCAAACCAATAGATAGGCTATTAGAAATTTAGGATTTCATCTTAGTCGTCTAAGTACACTGTATCTGTGTCGAGGTTCCCTCATTGGATGCCTTATGGCTTAGCATTATTGGGTGTCAAAATAAGTTATTTGAAAAGTTGAACTGGTTGGATAATTTTGCTGTTCTACTCATTTATCTGTAACATATTAATTTAACAACAGTAAATTTATGACGTTCAGAAAAATGAACTGCAGTGTCCATGTTCCGAGTGTGATTTGAACCCTGCAACTCCTCCTGTGGGGTTGGTTAGAGATATTATTCAAGCTAACTGGTAGTGGTAAATTAAGATGTCTGTTTGCTTGTCGAATTGATTTTCTTTGCGGGGAGCATTCATATGGATGTTGCTGCCTTCATGTGGCAGAGAAAACATGCAATTAGACGGAATATGGGTCTGGCTGGTGTATATTGATTTTTTTTGTTTTTAAAAATAATCTTATTTTGTTTGGTGGGAGGCTAAAATTTTTCTTGTCTATTGACTTAGAGAGTAGCTGTTTGCAATCCGGTTATGCTGCTGGATGAGATTGACAAGACAGGTTCTGATGTTCGTGGGGATCCAGCTTCAGCACTACTTGAGGTTCTTGATCCTGAACAGAACAAAACATTCAATGATCAGTATCCTATTTTTTACTGTTGTTTCAGCGAATCATCTTGTTTATTGTTCTTCATAAATTAACTGTTATTTAATTGAGATACTCTCTTAAAAGTGTATTTGTTTTGCATATCTTGCGTTGACTTGTGAGCATCCTAGTTTTCATTATCCTGTTGTGCCATGTAAGATTTATTTGCTTAAAGAGTTTGGGTCTAAATTTAAATATATGACGAGCTGCATCTTTACATGATGTTGCTGTCTGTATATTGCCCTTTTCTTAGTGAGGTTATGGTGCTTTTCTAACATGTTATGGCTCATGATTTGGGTGTTTGGCTTAATAATTTCTATATCTGGTTGTTAATGTTGCCATTGGATAATCCTAAAATGATATGTGTATATATATATATATATATATATTCTTCCTACTGTTAGCTTTTCTAACTAAAAATTCTGTCCATGCTGCTTTTACCTCGGGGGTTTGGGTTGAGGGTAGAAATGTTTAGCTTGAATAAGGTTTCAAGCTTTCCAGATGATTTTATAGAAGGATATACCAAATTATTGTTTATATCAATCTTAATTAGTTCTACCAATATACAAGTGAATGCATCAACGAGCTATATACAAGTGAATGCATCAACCAGCTATTGGAGCTTTAATACATTTCTGAATGTAATCATATCAAAAGTGATTCCTTAATAGAACTTCCATAGCTATTTAAATGTCCCATTTGACCTTTCAAAGGTGGTTTTTGTGGCAACTGCAAATAGGGTACAACCTATTCCTCCACCACTCTTGGACAGGATGGAAGTCATTGAACTGCCTGGGTATACACCTGAAGAAAAGCTAAAAATAGCTATGCATCACTTAATTCCACGAGTCTTGGATCAGCACGGCTTGAGTTCTGAGTTCCTTCAAATTCCAGAGGTATTGAATTTATAATTTTATCAATGTTCATAACTAATGGATTTATAAGTTGTAATGTAGGCTTCATGCCATCCTTAAAAGAGGTGATAACATATGGTTTGACTGAGGCTATGTTCTTAAATAAAACAGAATGGAAGATCCATGTAACCAACCCAAGTAGTTGGGAGAATACTTTCTGAGTTGAGTTGGCTTGATGTTATCCCTAAAAGGCTATTGATATGTTTCTATGCTGTCAATTTATCGATTAACAATCAATCTTTATTAAAACTTAAAGTTAGGTTGACTGAGGTATTTGCTAATACTGGTTGCATTCTCTCTGTTAGTTAACAATCAAATTTTGTACGTATCTAAGCTTTGCAACTACCTTATTTTCTTTCACTTCCTATCGACTTATTAAGTACCTTTTTAATAAATGCATGCAAAAATCTTAAGTTTTCCTTTCTTTTCATAATTGGCTGGAAACTGTTAGTTGTGGTCTTAAGTAGTCGAAACCATCATCTCCATAAAAAATGCATATTTTAGATATGTTCGGCTTACTGTTCCAACATTCAATACATTAAAATTTTTCCGTCTTTTGTGGTTTTGAGGCTTTGTGGTGCAACTTAGGAAATACACAAGGCTTAGTTTGATTTTTTGGTCATACACTATCCCTTTAATTAGCCACAGAATCAACTGAATTTTCACTTGCTGCCATTCCCTTTCTCCTTTCTATTGAAATTTCTTTTATAATTAGGAAAGAATATCAACACTAAAAGGATTATATGCAATTACGACTTGGTTGACGGGCATGGTCAGTAAAAAAAAGTTTCGAGACAAAGGTTTGGACAATGACAATAATGATACAGTATTACTATGATGCTGGAATATACCAATTTAAGGCACAACTCCAGGATTTATTAATTGTTTAAGGGAAAAAAATCACTCTTGTAACTAGTAACTGGCAAGGCATTTGTATTTGCAGAATGGTGCTTGTTTTGTGTGTGTGTGTGTGTGTGTGTTTTTTTTTTTTTTTTTCTCTTTTTCCAGAAGAATATTAATGCCTCCTATATTTTTGTATGACTAGTTTTTTTACGGTTCTTATGGAGGGTATTATACCCACTCATGCCTTTCTGCTGTGGTAGGCTATGGTGAAACTTGTCATTGAGAGGTACACTAGGGAAGCTGGCGTTCGGAATCTGGAGAGGAACTTAGCTGCCTTGGCTCGTGCAGCTGCTGTAAGAGTTGCAGAGCAAGAACATACTGTACAACTCAGCAAGGATATGCAACGGCTTGGTTCACCACTGATTGAGAGCAGACTTGCTGATGGAGCAGAAGTAGAAATGGAAGTCATTCCAATGGGTGTCAATAATCATGAGATATCAAGTGGGTTCAGAGTTAGCTCACCTTTGATTGTTGATGAAGCTATGCTGGAAAAAGTATTAGGGGTAATTAATTCTGATTTTTATTTATTTTTATCAGTATTCTTATTTTTGATATAGTTGTGACTTGTGAGAAACATGGGTACAATTGTTGCTTATTGTGTCTGGAAGTGGTTCACATATACTTGGCTGTTATGGGTATCAGTTGTTATCCAGTCCTTGAATGCCTCAATAGTCTCATCTGTTAATTATCTGTTTGAGTTTCTTGTGATTGTGAGCAGCTCTGAAGTTTAGTTTGTTTATACTGGAATGCAGCCCCCAAGGTATGATGATAGAGAAACTGCAGAACGAGTTGCAACTCCTGGGGTTTCTGTTGGGCTGGTTTGGACAACTTTTGGTGGCGAGGTTCAGTTTGTTGAGGCTACAGCAATGGTGGGAAAGGGTGATCTACATCTCACTGGCCAACTTGGTGATGTTATTAAAGAATCAGCTCAGATAGCACTAACATGGGTGATCTTTTTTTCTTTTTCTTTTTCTTTTTTTAATTATTATTTTTGTTCACTCATATATGAACTGAATACTCCGTAAAAATTTCTGTGAAAGTAGAGTGAGGCGAGGTATTCTACCCCTACACGGCAAGTCATAAGCCAAAAGGCACGAGACAAAGCCTTTGGATATTTATTTTATATATTTTAAAGTAAATAGTTAAAATATAAAAGAGAATATTATCAAATGGATTTAATTATTAACTATAGCTCCTCTCCTGCAATCTCTAGAATCTGTGCTCATGAAATTTCCTTGTACATCTAAAACCTAGTGCCCCTATGACCTCACTTTTGAATAAATTCTATATGCGTACTTGTAAATACTGTTACCTAATCTGAAAGTCAAAGCAATTTGATTGTGTGTTCACATCTGAGGGGTTCATATTAATGATCTTTTGGTGGGTTCCACAATATCACCTTCAAAATCAATTTTATATGTAATTGCTTAGAAAAATTCTTAATATTATCATTTAAGTCGAACCTTTTGCTGTAAGTATGGTTGTATTCATGGATATTAAACTACTACCAATATCTTCATTTTGTCAGAGAAGAGTTAATTATATATGCAAGGAAACAAATAGTACGTTCTTTAAATTTTACCAATAATCAATGCGATCTGATTGCCTATATCCCCTGTTTGTGGCATTTTATCACTAGTTACTGTTTGAATTAAATATGGATTGAGTTATTTATCTTGGTCCTATTGCCTTCTTTGTGTCTCACCATTTTGAACACTCACAGTATGCATGCAATATCTAGAGATAACATTTATCAACTTCTAAAATAAAAAAGCTGTCATCCCCTTCCCTTGGATAGTTGTATAAATATTACATTATATAGGTTTTTAGCATTTTCAAAGTTCCCATTGCCTTTATACGAGATAAAGCATCACGAAGCCCACCTAATTTAATATAGTTCTTTTGAGTCTTTGTTTTGGTAATTTGCGTTTGTTTCTGTAACTACACCGTTGTGCATCATATGCATCAGCAGTTTCTGTGCATTTAATATTTTCTGTGTTACTGTAAATTCTCCTGCAAAACAAGACGGTGATGGTTTCTTAGGAGATCATATATATATTACATCTTTTGACTTTAGACGTTCCTTGATATGCAGGTAAGATCAAGGGCAACGGAACTTAAGTTGGCTGCTGCGCAGGAAATTAATCTGTTGGAGGGCCGGGATATTCACATACATTTTCCTGCTGGGGCAGTGCCCAAGGATGGGCCCTCAGCAGGTGTGACTCTTGTAACAGCACTGGTTTCGCTGTTCAGTCGTAGAAGAGTAAGAGCAGATACAGCAATGACTGGAGAGATGACCCTGAGGGGTCTAGTATTACCTGTTGGTGGTGTCAAGGATAAGGTCTGCTTCTGACTCATTTTAACTGAGTGGAATGCGTTTTCTTAAAATTTATCTTTTTTTTCAGATGACTGTACACATATGCATAGTAGACACATCAGCAACTCAAACTGTAGATTGTGAAACCTCATGTGAGGTATTTAGTAAAAAAAAAAACCTCGTGTGAGGCACTGGCATTGGTGAATAAAGAACTAAGCAATGACACTTAAAAAAATAACTATATAAACTTGGTCATATATTTGCTTTGATTTGCAAAGCAAATTCGTTAATACAAGAATAGGGGTTTAAAAACTGCCATCACTAAAAGATAAACATGTAGGTTTCAAACTATGAATTTGTGGCAATGTTGGAAAAAATGGGGGTAAAAACACAAGAATGTCACCTGTTCTTAGCAAGGATATCAAAACATTTTTTTTTTTTTTTGGATAGGTAGGAAAACAAAATTTTGCTTGCACCTACAATACAGGTTTGCCGATGCCATATGTGTGGTGGCTTAATGGGCCAAAAGGGAGGAGCAGCTTGGCAGGCAACCAGTGGAACATATGTAGACCAGAAAAAAATGAAGAGAAAGGCTGGACCCCTTGCGCGATCTTGTGGTCATTTTTCATTGTTATAAAATGAATGCCAATGCAAGATGGATTTTAGACATGTACAATATTTTTGTAGCACATTGTTGCATCACGTATATTAGTTGTTTACATTCTGTTATAGAGGATGAGCATGTCTTAGCTATTAAGTGCAGTAGTAGATGTTCTCATTTCATTCTATTATCATTGTGGCATAATTTGAAAAATTAATAGTGCACCATACTGTTCTTTAAGATTGGATTTTTTGAAATATACAATGAACAGGTTTTGGCGGCACACCGATATGGTATCAAGAGAGTGATCTTACCAGAGAGGAACTTGAAGGACTTAGTTGAAGTACCATCAGCTGTGCTTGCCAATCTGGAGGTATTTTTTATTTCTATGCATGGCAAGGGTGTTTCCCAAGTACATGAGTGTGTGAGCACGCAGAATGTTTTGGGTCAGGGTCTTTATTTCCCTTTTCTTGATTCCTAGATTGACGATTGCAATTGAACTTGAATCTTGATTTGCATGGTGTCGCCCTCTTTCAAATGTCTTGATTACTGCTTTGCCAGTTATTTCTATTTGGGAAGAGATCTATTATTGGTTTTCTCAGATACCACAACATTCGATTAGCTGATTACTAGCTTTGAAATTGCTTAAAACATGTTTATATGAACCTTGAGAACAGCGTTCAAACAATTTTCTGATATTGTAAATTGCCGCCAATTTCCTTACTGGGAAAAGAAGAAGAAGAAGAAGAAGAAGAAGAAACATCCTGTTCCTGCTTGGAAGGGCTTTCTGGAAATAAATTTTATCTAGATCATTGAATCTGCCCTGGGGTTCCTTTAACGTGATAGACAAACCACAACTCTTATCTATATGTTGCCCATTGTTTACGTGCATTAGGATAGCTCATAATAGGGCTTTATATTCTCCTTTTGAATTATGTCAGCGAACACAATGCATATAGTCTAATCTTCCCAATGCCTCTTATTATGACAGATACTACTTGCTAAGCGTATGGAAGACGTCCTGGAACATGCTTTTGAAGGTGGTTGCCCTTGGAGACAACACTCAAAGTTATGACAGCACCCTGAGGCCTTGTTTATTTAACAATTCTCCGGCGATCGAATTGTTTAGCTTGTTATCTCATGTTTGGGGCATTCACATTCGTGCTCATCATTCAGCAGCTGAAAGTGGCGATCGGAGACTAATGAATCTGTTAACAACGTCATCTGGGCACGAAGAGACCCAGTCATTAACGTCATCTTGGTTTAAAATTCCAAAGGAAATTCCTGGTATGTATTATTCTTTACCCTCAACGAGCTGTAATTTAGAAAGGGCAAGGAACTGTGCTTATATCGCTTTTTCCTTTTTTCATTTTAATTATCATAGTTTGATACTCTCGTGTATATATCATTTTTTTCACTGAGCAAAGAAATAATTGCTAGTTGGTTCACGTATTACTCCATCATCCTTGAATCTTGTGGAGTGAGCGAAGAATAGATCTGTTCTCGAAGAAGTTATTTTCCTTTTCCTTCTTTGAGCCAAAGCTAAGATTCTACTGAACCCATTGCCCAGCCTTCGTTCGGCTTTCGTCAACTGTAGGAATGGAATGGAACTCCTAACCCTAGTCCTCTCTTTCATAAGCTATACCAGCACTTAACCACTGTGCTATGATTGCTTTGGCTAATCAAAGTAATTAAAGGAGGCCATATTTATATACTATTGTAGATGGTGGGATTGGCTCTTTGCTTCTTTGGCAATGCTATGTCGAACGTTCCATGGATTTGATTGCATTTGAAGCATTTAGTGGAGAGGAAAAGGGAGATGGCCAAATATCACTCCTAAACTCCGCAGTCCTCAATCCTGAGGTTCAGATTCAGCTACATCATTATCTTGTTAAATCTCATATTGAATTTTCTGTTACGAATTTGAAAGTGGCATCAAGATGTGGATTTTCATTCAAAAATGGATCCGAGTCTTTTGCGATGTTCCTGTTGCAAAATACTGGATTTATATCTATGCCGTTTCTGTTCTTTGAATTGAAACAAACTAGAATTCTCAAAGGGAAACTTTTTCTATTATAACTATTTAAAAACCATTTTTAATGATTACTAGGGAGTTGAATCTTTGGTACTCGAAGAAGTGTAAGATTAATAAATCTATCCTATTTGAGTCAATTGAAGATGTAAATTAAAATAAAAAAAAAAAAAACTTACTTTTTCGTCATAAATTTATTTATGAAGTGATTGAATCTGAATCGCATCAAGTAATTATATTGTTCATTTTTTTTTTTTTGGTTCGGGTGAAAATGTAGCAATAGATTACGGGCACTGCCTCCAAGGCTCGAACTCATGACCTCTTTGAAAAATATGAGTACGGTACCACTTGCTTGTTGATTATATTGCTCATTTATGATGTAAGAATGATGATTTTACACAAGAAAGATTATGAGTATGGTACTGCAGAATGGGCAATTTGATATTTTAATATTTTCCTAATTGCTTTTATTACAAAGGTTGGTTTAATTATTAGTGTCTCTTAACTGTTTTTAGGATTAAATTTTCATCTTTTAAAATAAAAAATAAAAAATAAAAAATAAAAGAAATGTTCTATCATTCAAATCCTGCATGCCTCCCTCCACATCTCTTCATAGTGGAGTAAAAAATCTTGTATTGACATATTATTTGAGAAATGATTTTGATAATGATTATAGGAGACCATTTCTAATAATTTATAATAGTGTCATTAGGTAATACTCCCTCCGTCCCAATATAACCGTCAATGAGAACTGTGTGACTTATATTGACGGTGGGAGTAGTACAGCTCCCAACGAAGACGCTTATATTAGGATGGAGGGAATAGTACTGTTGAATTCTTCGAAATAGGATGGAGGGAATAGTACTGTTGAATTATTCGAAAATAATTTTTCCGGATAAATTAAATAACTCTTTAAATAGTCTAACTAAAATATGACCATTCTGTTTGCAGTGATTGTTTGATTAACCAATTCATTCTTATTCTATTCCCTTTTACATTTTATTTTACTTCATTTCATTTATGAGTACCACAAACAAAAGAAGATTTATACGAGGGGAATGAATGAAAAAAAAAATAGATAATGTTGCAAATTATATTCCTTTGTTTTGGTTTGTAGAGAATGCCTATCCATTTATTTTACATCTATCACTCATTCCAATCTATTTGTTTTTTTTTTTTTCTTTTTGTTCTTTACTTCTCCGAAGTCCGAACTATTACCTCTCTATTTAGAGTTTTAGACACAATTTTTTAAAGGTAGTGTCTAACAAAAAAAAAATCTTTAAAGGTTACAAAATGTCAAATAAGAAATTACCATACAAAATTGAAATAAACTCAAAAGAAAACTAAAATATAAAAACTGACTATAAAAACTACCAAAAAGACCCATGGCATATAAAAACTGAGTACTCTGACTAAAAACCACCAAAAAGAATCAAAGGAATAAAATTCAGGGAATATAAAAACCATAAAAACTACCAAAAAGAATCAAAGGAATAAAATATAAAAACCATAAAAACTACCAAAAAGAATCAAAGGAATAAAAATTCAAGGAATAAAGAGAGAGGAAACCAAATCATGGAATAAAGGAAAAAAATCAGGGAATAAAGAGAAAAGGTAAAAACCGAAAATATTGGAATTTTTTAGGTGGACTAAGCAAATATAAAACCAACCACAAAACAATGCTTCATGTAATATTATATATATATATAATACACACACATGCATATAATCTATAGAAAAACAGATATATATCATATATATGGGCATCAGAGAAATAGACATAGCAGGCAAGAAACTCGTAATACACGAGCTCGACGATGTATGTGACTCGGCAACCGGCCGAGCACTCACCGGGTCATGGGTCTGGGACTCGGCCTTGGTCTTTTCCGAGTGGATGTCGACGCAGGGCCGACTCCTGTTCGATTTCCGAGGCAAAACCGTGCTCGAACTCGGGGCGGGAGCAGGGCTTCCCGGCTTGACAGCTTCTCAGCTCGGCGCGAGCCGAGTCATATTGACGGATATCGAGCCGTTGCTTTCTGGGTTGAGAAGGAACGTTGAGGCCAACGGACTCGGAAACCGAGTGGAGGTGAGTCAACTGGTTTGGGGGTCCGATGAGTTGCTGATTCAACTCAGCGAGTTGGACCTGGTGTTGATGTCGGACGTGTTCTATGACGAGTCGGAGATGGCAGCACTGGCAGGGACCCTAAAGAGGGTTTGCTGGAAGGATACGGTGGTGTGGGCAGCCTGCGAGGTTCGGCCGTGGACAAGCGAGTGCTTGAATGAGTTGGTGAGTGAAGGGTTTGGAGTCGTCGAGTGGCCGAGTCAACTCGGTAGCTTGAATTCATCATCTGTGACAAGTATGAGTTCTGGGGTGTTCGCTATTTTTAACCTCCTTCCACCTAATCAAAGTGTATTAGCCAACCAGTTAACCACTGCTCGTGACAATACTATTGTAGAGCCATACCAAAATCTTGACTGAAAAATGCTAATTCCTACTGAATTTGTGCAGCAGTTTAAAAAGAAAGTTTGAAGAAATTTTAATTAGATCCCACTTTTGATTCTTGAATAATATCAAATTTTCAGATTTGGCTTAAGATCGAACTTTTAATTTTTATTATTATTTTTTTGTCCCCTAGAGTTGACATTTGGAGCAATTTTGTTTAAGTTTTCTGGAAAATGTTATCAAATTTGTATTTTGCTATTAATTATTATCGTTTTGCATTTTTATTTTTTTTTGTGATAACAGAGGCGGGCTAAAAACTTCAGGCTACCAAAGGCCTCTGATGGCTCAGTGCGTCAATTGTTGTCAAGGTATAATAATACTAATAATGATAATGCTTCAACAAATTCAATGGAAACATAAAAAAATATTTATTCTTGTCTAGAAAGATAATTGTGTATTATTCTATTGTCAAATACATTCCAAACAATCTTGCAAGTAATATTATGAACATATACATCAAAGTAGTTGGTGAGAGAGACGACACCAGCGGGCAGGGCAGATAATCTAAAGAAGAAAACAACAAATAGAACACTTCCAAAATCATTTCACTATTTTTACGCTCTCTCTCTCAATGATACAATTCATTATTTGAAGCATTCAATGCAAACCAACCACAATATACCACTATAATACCTACAAATTCTGGGATCATATCATCATTGTCTGTTTAAAACTAATGTGTAGTATAGTTCACATGTCAGTGAGAGCTGGAAGGGTAAAGCCACAATACCCAGCAGGCTGTACAAAAATCAGTGGTATAGCTCCTCTATATAAAATAATAAGCTTCCCACCGCCGTAAGTTATCCAATTAGATCTGCTTCCCTTCCCAACACCGTGCCATGTAATGCTCACTCCCAGGAGTGTATTTTGTCATATCATAACTTGAAGACAATAATTGGGGTGGGTTATCCTTTACTTTCTCAGCTCTAGATGTGCCGCCTTTGTTTGCTCCAAACTGCAGAACAGCTTCTTGCCAACTCAAACCATCTGATTCCGATTATTCAGAATCAACTTCTGAGGGTTGTATTCTCAAACCGGACTCAGTTATTGAAAGACCGACCCTTCACCTCAAGGCACATAAATTGGACACACATGATGGAACAAACCAAGTTGCTGGATGCAAAAGATATAACCAACCCATCACAACATAAAACCCACAATCAATCTCTCAACCATTGTAGTGAAGTTTCTGATTCTGGGTGTTCTGCCCCTGCTGGGGCTGTGGACCCTGCAAGTTCATTGGCTGCGTGTTGTAGTGAGCAAAAGGCTGGGAGTAGAGAGGATTCAACAAACCCTGTAAATAGGTTAAAAATACTTTAAAGACTATTCCAACTTAAAGAGTATAACCGGTCAAAAAAACAAAGCAAGCTGGTAAAACAAACTATAAGGATAGATTCAGGAAACATTTGTCAACAAGCAAAAGCCCTCCCAGACTTCCAAAATTTGGTTAAGATAAGCAAGCAACCAAATTTTGCAGGGCTCAGCATACTTCAATTGATACATGCTCCACACATCTAACCACTTCGATAGTTTTGGCCACATAATATATCTATCACGGAGTAACAGTAAAAGAAGAAACCTGAGACTGAAGTGGGTTGGCATTCGTCACTCCAAAGTGGCTCTGCGAAGTGTCATCTTGTGATGGATCATTGAATCCAACCTGTGTAAACAGACCTTGTGATCCATGAGCCATGTAATCCTGTTTCAGAAGTTTTAACAGAGTGAGGCAAAAATAAACACAAATTTGCTGCTTTATAGGGAAATTCAAAGGTTTGAACATTACTAAGGGTTGTAGCATAGTGGTATTTCCCCTACCCAGGCTCAAGGCCCCATAGGGGCAAGTGGGTTTGTGTTATTTGTCATGATAAAGAATAAGAAAAAGAAAAAAGTTCTGTTCATTGCTAGTATAAGATTTGTATTGTTTATAGGGATGTCTCATTTTAATTATCTTCAATTGCTTCTTTTTTGAGGTTCTTTTTCCTTTTCAATAAAGCTTTAAGAAGATGGCAACCCACCAAATAATAATAATATCATTACAAAATAAATAAAATGAACAAACCTGAGACATGAAATCATTTCCTGTACCAAAACGAGAATATCCAGCTCGAGAATTTTGGTTTAGAAAGCTTCCTGGGAATCCAGCTTGTGCTCCCTGTGTAACGTAATCGACAGCATATCCAGTTTGAGAAGCCTGCATAGCAAGACAGCAACATACCAACATTGAGTGTTGTTAATGAAAACATCTATTTTATTTATTTTAGTGGAATCGTCTATAACAATCAATCAAATACACATATCAAATACATGAGCATATTTTTTTTCTCATTCAAAAAATCAAAGGATATAAATAGTCTTGTGGTTCCAGCCACCACCGAGGACCTTTTTTATGTACACTGCCTATGCATGTGCAGGGCTGAATACACGGGTGTGGCAAGTTTTTGTGATCGGTAATTTCCGGGGGAAAAAAATGTTTTTGTGATCTGTACCTGTGTGGAGAAGTCAGCTACATTATATGGAACATGTGATCCCTGACTTTTGAAGTCATCGCCCAAGAAATCCTGATAGAAGGTTGAAAGATAAGTTCTCAAGAGAAATAAAAAAATTCTAATAATCAATTGTTGTAACAAGTGAATTTTAGCAGAAACAGATACCTGAGACATGCCCCCTATAGAAAATCCATCACGAAATGTTTGGCTTGGACCTTGAACAGTCATCTATCATTTAAAATAAAAGTGCTCAGGACTCAACCATGATAAAAATAGAAAGAAGTTTCGAGATTATATAATAACAACAATAGCAATAAAAAACAACAGTACGAACATTAGAAACGAATCCAGGTTGAGATAATGGTCCACCCACAGATGGCTGGCTATTTGGATTGTCCAAACCAGGAAAGTTGAAACTAGGCCCAAGACTTCCAATGGGTTGCTGAGAGCCTTGCTGGTGTGGAAGATGACTGCCAATGGGAGCACCAGCACTGCCACGCCCAGCACCAAAACCCCGGCTTCCTGCTTGGGGAACATGAGGAACTGCTCCAACAGGTCCATGTACAGCTCCGCGAGTTGGAATAGCATATGGCTGGGAAGGGTGGCCACCATGATATGGTGATATAGGAACCCGAGGCACTGGATAACCAGTAGGATGTACTCCAGGTTTATGGGTACCACTGGACGGGCCAGATGGCATATAAGAACCTGCATTCAGAAAAGCTAAGTTTCCTTTGCTCACAATTCTTAAATTCTCAAAGAATAACTAAAAATAAGGATGAGAGAATACATAAAAACTGTATCCTAATAAAGAAAAAAAAATCATTCATACATAAAACATTTCAGCAACTAACATACCCCCAGAACGACTGCTCCTCCTATCAGAATTCAGGCTTGATGAGGTAACAGAGCCAAAGCTATCTATTCCAGGTCCACCAGCAAAGAAAAGTCTGCGGTCATTGTAGATCTGTTCCATATACTGTAATTAACCTCATTGTGTCCTCAAGAAATGACCCATGGTTGTATATGCATCAAACCAAATATATAATTATATATATATGTATATATAAAACTTAAGATTGTTGAGATTCCATTGTTCAAGTTATACCTTTTTTGGTTTTTGAAATTGAACCATACTCTGCTTTAAGTTATTCAGAGGACCTTCTACCAAGCACTCGTGCTCCTAAAAAAGGAAAATCATAAAATGGCGAAATTAGTAGGTAGAGGGTCAGACTGATTTATAATTCTGACAGATGTCAAACTTTAACACTGCCAATCATTTTTATGGACTTTAAAACAAAGAAGGTAAACAACCATAATGATTAAACCAGCAATTTGGAGCCCCGACATAAGTACCCAAAGCAACAGGTACGCAAATAATCAGCTAACTGAGCCAGTGACGGTTGGCAAACATTAACTATCCAAAACATATTCCAGCCAGCAAAATTCAAGCGTATCCTAATTGATGTAATCCACAAGGAGAAATGGAAAAAAAAAACAAAAAAACACATCAAACAGTAATGATACCTTGTAGTGTGTCAACAAGCCATTCCATAGCGGTTGTTTGCTTAGAACTTTAGGGTTCCCCAATATGCAAATACCATAACGAGCACGCGTCAGTGCAACATTAAGTCTGCGTGGATCATTAAGGAATCCAATGCCCTGTGTAAGAGGACAGCTATCAAGAATCAGCTTGTTATCACGTATTGAAGTCGAAGGCCAACATGAACTTTAGTTGACTCATAAATAACAGAATGATAGATAAAATATTAACAAGGAGTGCAATTAACTAATTAATCTTTAAACAGGAATATACAGTAACAAAGAGAATGAAGCAATTCAAACATATAAAATGAAGCACAATGTTATGGTATAAAATAGCCCCAGAACATATCATCCAAATCCTGAACCTCCCACCTGAGAGAGAGAGAGAGAGTAAGAGAGCTGATGCTTAAATATTGAAGGCAGAGCATAAAGAATAATTTTTTAGCTCCGCATGCGTGTATGTATTTTACAAGTGCATTCGAACCTGAATCAACAACAAATTTAAACTAAAATAAACTAAAATTATTGTCTTCAGTTTTATAACAACAACATTTCAGGGATTCTCGCAGGCATATTAATCAAACCTTGACCAGCCATCGACCCATTCTGAGAGCCAATCCACAAAAAAATTGGTTCAACCACAACTTGATTCTGCTGACCTGCCTGGCTTGCAGGGAGTTTCAAGTTCATAATCACCAAAAGTACATTGAAAGAGCTAAGGGAAAAAAGGAAAAACATGAAAGATAATGAAGGCTCATTTATGTGCATGGCAAAACTAGATTGGCGGCTTGACTCTCATCAAGCATATTTTTTTGTCTTCAAAATAGATAGAATTGAAGTTCAGTTATCTACAGACCAGTGGACCGACCATTTTCCAGCTTTGACCAACTGGTCCAAGAAGTTTCATCCTCTCACCCTAAGAGGCATGGTCTCCTTCAAAACTTTATCCTCACAACACCAAACAGCAATCAATATGCCTCTGAGGTACAATTTATCAGAAGCAGCAAACTGGTAGATGATCCAAACCCCATCCTAATATATACGAAGCTGGGTCAAGAGTGAGGAGCTGGAGGCCTGTGTCTGTTCTTAGATAAAACTAATAAAAAATTGGAGGGCAACGGAAATGACAAGTTGCAAAGTATTGCACAAAACCCAATTATCTGTTCTGCACAGAACAATATTGACGAAAATCATACAATATTAAAAACTTCAATTTATTAATTTAACCAATATGATGAACAGTATTTCTGTTCAAATGTCAGGTCTGGCTATTAAAAAATTTCACCCACAGGACTGGAAGTAAAAGCACACCAATCAAAACTTTCTACAATCTCCTCTTCTACATTATTTTAAAATAGAGACTCGTGACCAAAGGGAACCAGTAACTTCCTTTAACCTAAGGAATAGGGAGAAGCCACGCAGATTGTAAAATACTGTTTCACTAGGTCTCTCATACTGCAATTATAAAAAGCCAACACCTACCATTGAACATTACCACCAAAACTAAAATTTTTACAAGCAGACTCTAAGCGAAGATAGATCAACCAACCTGATGTTCATTACTCCTCACACAAGACAAAATTATGTAATCTTTTTCCCTCCCTTGGAACGAATCTACACTTGCAACCTACAAAGATCACACAATATGTGGCATTTTAAGTGAAGAATCAGATCACAGCTGCATCTAGCAAGTTGAAACCATACATTACCTCAATTTCCTTGTAAAGTTGTTGTCTTAGAGCACCATTTCTTGACATATAGTTCACAATATATGCTCGCTGTCCCTCATATGGTGTTATAACCCCGATCTATAAATAAAATCAATGATCAGATTGCTGAACCATGAAAATAATTCCATTAAGTGCAATAAAGAAGAAAAGAACATACTGCACCTGGCTAGGAACTACACCACTCCTTAAGAATGTAGTCACAATTTTTTCAACATTTGCAGCCTCAGTCCTATTCAGATAAGATGTTCCACTAGCACTTATCTCTTCTTGCCCCATCTAGAGAAAATTTGATATCATGCATTTTTGAGAGAAAGAGGGGTCATGCATTGCTGAGAAAGAGTTGTTTCAAATAAAAAATTTCTAATTTTAAATTACACCAGGCAGGTTATAATGTGCTTTGCTTCAACAAATATTGATATCATGCTGTTTCTTAGGAGAAAATAGAGTTTTAGGCTTTTAGTTTAGTGCATAATCATATAAGCATGTGATTCACATTCAAAATGTTAATTGATAGTATTAAACGCAAAATAATAAAAAAAAACACACGCACACACAAACAATTAATTTGCATATCACTATACCTGGACATAAAAGAACATGGGCCGGTTAGGCACAGGCCAAGGAAAATCAATGCCTGATGATTGCCTCTCATTGATGGTCACCCCATTTTGAAGTGTACCTTCATAAAAGCTGTTAGAGGGGAATTCTGAAAGGGATGGATGCATGCGGTATTGAACCTGGAATTTAAGAGCACAAGACATATGATCAGTGTTTCCATATTTTTTTTTTGATAAGTGAGTGTTTCCATATTTTTGTACAAGCAAATAATGTTTCTTTATAAACATGGGGGCAGTAGAGGTACAAGGACATCTGTGTAAACCCAAGGCACGTCGTACACTCGGTCCATGTCCTCAAAAGAGTTTTACCACATCAATTTTCACAAGACAATAAAGAGAGGACTGTCATTAATTGCAGAATGAGATGCAAAACATGATTACATTAATCTAGCAAAACTGATAGCAGGTTTCTAACTGCTACAACAAAAAGTGAACAAAACAATAACAATAAAAATATGGTGTATCAGAATGTTTTCATCACTGAATAGAATCTCTGATCTGATCAACATCTAATGTTATGCTATGCCGGAAAAGGCGAGAGGAGCAATGGATCCCCTACTTCCTAATATATAATTGTATCAAGATAGGAGCTGAAACTGAGAGAAACTTCATACAATTCATACTAACATCGCCCGAGAAAGCCACAAAATGTTTAAAGGAAGTACTAGAGAACATAAACATTCAGGCAAGGTGAACCAGATATAGATGCAAGAAATGTAATATAGAAGTTCCCAATTAGTCTTTTAATGCTAACCTTCAAAGCTATAATAAATAAGTTGTAAATTACTTTCTCTTCCTTTTTTTTTTTTTTTTGATAGTTTTTGGTTTTTTTTGTTTTTGTTTTTTTTTTGGTTTGGGAAGGGGGGGGGGGGGGGGGGGGGGGGGGCAAAGAGAGAAAAAAGAGAAAACATGAGAGCTATCACCTGCAACCTAATCGGCTTCACACCAAGTAGCACAAGACGTTCGAATAGAGACTGGGCTAGCCCAGCACGAGCTGCTTTCTTGCACATAATAACAGGACCGAGCTGGCAATGGTCACCAACAAGAACAGCCTGATAAACGAATATCTAGTTAGAAAATGAAGCAGATAAAGGAAAAAATTGAAGGAAGTATGGACAAATATGTCAGCAACTACCTGCTTCGCCCCAAGAACCAAGGGAATAAGACACTCGGGCTCAGTTGCTTGAGTTGACTCATCAATAAGTACCTAAAAACAGATGAAATGAATGTAAACCACAGCACAAAATTTTGGAATCGCTTTATGACTGCCAAATGCTCACATCAGATGCATGCAACCTGGCGAAATCTAAAATTTGCCAATCGAGGGTCCCCAGCACCAACACAAGTGCAACAAATGACATCAGCACTCTGAGATATCTCTCTCTCTGTTGCCCTCTTCAACGCTTTATATTTTTTCTCATCACTGCTGGACAGTTCTCCTGTACAAATTTAAGAAATAGAACTCCATTAGTACAAATTCAGGTCTTGACACATATGAGATTCCAATTAGAATTTGCATCCATTAATTTTTTTTGATACGTAAGAATTTGCATCCATTTATACAAAAAATTATTTCTCAGTTGGTCCAAAGGAGAGAGGAGGAAGATGTTGAGGGCTGTAAAGCTTTTAATGAGGAAGATTATAAGACTATGTTGTTTGTTGAACAGGATGATTTTTAGATCCCTTAGGATTGCTTGGTTTTAGGAGTGGAAACTCATTCTTGGATTTTCATTGCTTTAGTATCATGCTTCTTAGGTTTTATCACTATTAGTATTTGGATGTATGGCTTTGTTTTTATCACTCTTAGTTCTTGAATGCTTAAATTGACTATGGGATATTAATGTTTTCATGGTAATTTTATTATTCAATTGTTGGAAGTTAGAAAAATGCAATGCATGATGATTTAGTTAAAGGATTATCGAAAATTCATGTGGCTGAAGCTATAGCATGCAATGTGTGTCATACTTCAATCAGGCTAGCGCCTCGCAGTTGCACCTAGGTCCTAGGCTCCAAAAGCCACCCTTATGCCCCTGATAACTATGGATCTACTAAACTCAGCCTACCTTAAGGAAAACTAGTATAGTTTAACAAGTCAAACCAATGACAAAGTGTTAAAACATTTGAACCAGAAACAAGGCCATCCAGCATTAAGGAGTACAAAAAACAATCCAAGCCAAGGATCAGCAAGCCTGGCAACCCAAAATCTAACAGGGAAACCATGGATACAACCCCAAAAATTAATCTAACAAAATAGTAAATTAGCAAAGAATAAATAAAAAATATAAGTCCCACCTTGTTCATCTTTCAGTTGCTGCAACTTGTGAAGTTCACTCTTATCAGATGTGTCAAGATGTCGAACCTGCAATGAAATGATATTAAGATACATATGGTAGAAATGCAGAAGCTAAACATGCATCACAACAACGATATTTAATGGATTAAACAAATATATGAACCTGATAGTGAAGCGTTAAATGCTCAACAGGAGAGCTTACAGCTTCCCTTGATTTTGCACAAAGTCTTACAACCTAGTTTGAGGGGAGAGAGAAAAGTCAAAGACATAAGATAGCAAGAGAAATTTCACACATATAATCATTTAAGAAAAATCAAACAACTGTGATGATCACTTAATAAACAGCTTACCTATAACACAACAAACTATATACTGTCACAAAACCGGAACATTTCTAGAAATTCAATTTTTTATTTCATTTTCTCCAACCCCTTAAATCAGATAACTATCTTAAGAAAATTATGGAGAAACATCTTTATAGACCATTTTAAGAAAATTATGATGGAAATTCTGCAAAGATCTTGGCATAATGCTTATAGCAAAAAAGGAACCATAATAGTTCATGTTGGTTTATATTTTGTCATAATCAATGTTCTCCTTACCTAATTTTTATTTATTTTATTTTATTTTATTTTTATTTAATTTTTTTTTTTTTTTAAGGTACAAGTTATACCATGAAGGCAACAGTAAAGACTCATCACTTGAAAGAAGCCAGAAAGATAAATAGCTCATTCACATGATGAATAAAGCTTTATACCAAACTCATGAGTCATGACAATCACTTTCTGGAGATTCACTGCAAAGCAACCAAAATTTTGCATTGCTACGTTTATTATTATAATTCTCTGCAACTAGTTAGAAGACAACACCTTGACAATGCATCAATTTTTTTCCTTCATGTTAGACTATAGCTTATATCAGTCACAAAAGAACATCCTATGTCGCGACTTGCAAATGATTCTTGTCACCCAATACTTCTGAGAACAAGAAAACATGACAAAAGACGATCTTTCTGAACTTAGCTACGTGAAAACAGAGGAGGGATCAATTAACGAAAAAACTACGACATATGCATACATTAAGCAAGATGATATCACATTAAGATAAACTAAAGCTTGCGTAACTGTGATAAAAGTTTACCATCAACTACGTGATATGATTACCTTTAAACCAGTGGCACTTATCTTTTCAGCTAGCTGGTCAACAGCCACATTACTTGGAGCACAAACTAAAACCTATCATGAAAAGAAAAGAATGATAAACAACAATTACATGTGATCATGTGCAAAATTTAGATATAGGAAATAATGCTAATGACTTACCTGCCCTTGCCCTTGCTTGGCCATATGATACACAATTGCTGCAGACGTGACAGTTTTCCCAGTGCCGGGTGGACCTTGAATCAAACTGATTGGCTTCTGAAGCACACTTTTTACAGCAAAAACCTATCAACAGATTAAGCATGCCATATAGTGTTCTTAGGTAATTAACAATAGTGACAATAGACAAATAAAGTATGAATATTTAGAATAGGTTATGTAACTTTACATTATACATAACTTCAAGCAAAGCAGGGCAAGAAAATTTGAAAATGGTAAAAAAAGTCCCAAACCACCCTGATACGATTCAGGAAACACTACCTCTTACCTAAATTGACTACAGCCAATCAAAATTATCATTTGGAGCTTTCAGATTAAAAGTTCAAATTTCCTTGTTCTGAAAATATTTAACTTGCACATCAGTAACTACAATTTCACCAGGTGATGCTTGATCATGAAGTTGATGCTCTATTTTTCACTCCTCATTTTGTTGCCACTAGCTTGGAAGATGAATTTTACTAAGTTGAATTTATCCAAAAAAAAAAAAATCACCATCATCAAATACACCAACTGCCTGTGAAAATATGCTTTGTTAAACATTTTCTAACATCATCTGCGATACTCTCTCCAAAGAAATTCCATGAACATTTTTTGTGTGGGCAGCTGCCTAAGCACCTATATTGCCAGCAAAAAAATTACACAGCCTGGCAGGGCATTTTCTCGACTACATTTGTACTAGGAGATCACAGCATCCTTCCCCTTGCCAGGTTAAGACTCTAATATTATTGTTTGTAGGACATTTGATCACACCAAAAGTAAAACAAAGTTCTGTTTCAGCCTCCTCCCCCACCCCAAACAACAAAAGAGAAAAAGATTCAGAAAACGGAAAAAGAAAAAGAGAAATCAAGAAAAACCTTAAAATTAATGAGACCCAATACTGCAATGTTGGTCAGATCACCTCGACTAGCACTACAATTAATTCTTTACATGCAAAAGAAGAGGAACATACTGAGGCTATGGCTGTAAATAGAGCGGAATGGAAACATGGGATTCATGTAGCCAACCTCAAATAATTCTTTCCAAGTATTTGACACAAAAAGATACATGCTCAACGAAGTATGATATTCAAATGGATATAGTGTCAAGATAGCCTACTTGAGATGCATTGAGCTCTGGAAGACCTGGTGCACCAAAACGACGAGGCAGTGCATTACGGACCATCTGAACCTCAACTTCATGTCCTAGCAAGTGATGGTAAATGTACCTGCACCGAGTTAACTTAGTTAATTCATACTTCAAAGCAAACGATTCAGGTGCCGGAAAAAAAGGATCTCAAATAAAAAGTAACCAAGTAGTTGAAGTACAAACTGGCTGAACCCATATCAGATTAGCTTGCAAGCTTGATATCTGGGCAGGCTTAACAGTGCCTACTTTAAGTTAAATAAGGCAAGAATCAGAATTCAAGTCTGTATACCTTCAACTTCAAGTGTACTACACTGGCCAATGTGTCAGCCCAGACCAGCCCAAAGCTAATAGGGTATTGCAATCTCTTTTAGTCTGTTAATACAGTATATGATATGTGTACACATGCTGTGCTGTCTGGCTACATATTTATAATTAGCTCAGTAGTTATAGAATTCTCTGTGGATAACAGGGCTTCGTTTGAAATGAAAAGCTCAGCTAATCTATTATATCACTCCAAGGGTAATTACTAGTAATAACTCAGGCCAACTTCAGATAAAAATAGAAAGCCAATCTTATTTTGGGTGAATGGCGATTGCTCAAGTGGGACCAAAAGTTCAATTGCCAAAATCAACACAACCCAAACCAACTTAACCAAGGCAACCTGTTTCCAAACCTACAAGGTTAACTCATCGATTTAGAATCAACAAGTTATGAAACTTGTTGCAACAACACTAAATTGCATTCTCCAACACTTAAAGATATTATCAATAGCATACCTTTAAACCGCTTCAATTTAGTTTTTAAATATAATCATCAATGAATTCTACTTATTTTTTATATATTGATGGCTATTTATATTTGTGTTCACTGTTGTCAACGTTTGCTACGATTTAAGACAGACGACTGTAGGAAAATTTTAAAATAAAATAGTCTTGGAAAATCTTCATTCAACATAACAAATGCAATAATTACAAAGCAGCAGCTAACCCACCCACTAACACTTGTTTCATCTACTGCAAAGGTTTTCATTGCCCCCTGCATCCGATCAAAGCTTGTGCTCTTCCACACAAAGTCGACACTAAAACCATGGTTCACATCAACAGGTACTCCCTAATAAAGATAAAAAATAAAATAAAATAAAATAAGGACCAATGACAGCTGAAACCCGCCAACTACTAAAGGCACAAAAATTATAACCAAAGTTACCTGACTGGCACGAAGCTCAAGTGCAACTTCCTCTTGGGTAGTCAATTTTATCTGGAATACGAGATAAATAAAGAATAGAAAAATAAATAATACATCATACCTTCCATAGATAAATAGCTTCCTCATAATATCTTGTAAATTAATAAAACAACTGCACGACACCCCTCAAATAAACAGTTCTTATAAACAAGTGACTCAAATCAGAAAATTTGAAATGAAATATAATTCATGAAAAAGAACTTGAAAAAGTTGCAACTCGAGATAGAGAGAGAGAAAAAAAAAAAACTCCTACCACATGCCCCACTGACTGCCAAGCTGGATGAGCTGCATCTCCTGAATAACGTAGCCGCAACTCATCACCAGGTACAAGGCGCAACTCATTATCTTCCTACAACATAACAAACTTTTAGCTTTACACGGGAATACTTTAAAAGTTTAAACAAAAACTCATGGCCAAACAAGTTTGGCACTGACATGAAGAATATATTGTAATGCCAATGCTTTAAATTACAGAACAGAAACAAAAACCATAAGGAAAATAATAAAGCACCTTTGGGAAAACAAAATATGCAACACGCTTCTTGTTGAGACCAATATCCCACCGTATTGTGACATTGTCTTTGCTTTGAGATTCTTTCATCATCTACACAAAAGATCAAGATAAAAAATAGATTTGTGTAACGTGAGCCAATATGTTGATTGGTACAAACCTAAAGAGACTTGCAGTAGGCAAATATTGGAATTGCACAAGTATCAACATGCTTACTTCAAAAGACCCAAAAAAAAAAAAAAAAAAAAAAATGAAAGAATCAATGTCACACAAGATTAGATCTTTCATTGAGGAAACAATAATGCATACTTTATCGTAGTCAGCTTCGAGCTTAATGAGTGGCGCGAACACATTTTGATACTGCAATAGGAAATAAGGCAGCAAAAACTTATTAATACAGACGCCACAGCCATTATATATAACTACAACTTCCTCGTCATTCTCTTGCTGCAACATAATCATAATTTGTGTAGCAAGTATTACTGAAACTATTGTTGCAGGAATACCTGATATGCATCTTCATACTTCAAGACTACGGGTTGAGGTTCGTCATCCACACCAGGCTTCTCAAGATCTTCCAGGGTAGCATCAGGATTTGTCTTCCAAAGTTCTTCTACCTTATTTATTTGTTGAGCACTGATCTGGCGTGCCCTTAACTGCTCCTGTTCAGATGGGACCTGCAAAGTGCAAAATGTTAGTAACTTAAGGAAAGTATATAATACCTTAGAGACAATACAAAAATAATAAACTGGAGATAAAGAGTCACTAACCTTAACAAGCCATGGCAAAAAACATCTATCATCAATAAGAGGACACCACTGACTGAGGTCCCAATTCATGTCCTTCAAAGCATTGACACTCAGACAAGGCTCCCTGCAAAGAAGAACAACAACGTTCTCTGTCTTGGCAGAGATGAATCCAAGAAGGAACACATTTCGGCATCCACAGTTGTAACATTCAAGGATAGTTTCTCCCAGGGGACTGTCTTTATGAAGACAAACTTCCTTGTGCTTGGCGCGAACCTACAGATGTAGGTAACAGAACATGCTGATTCCAAAGTTATCATAGTGCGATGCTTATCCTATTGCAAACTAGTACACACTTTATTTAGGCAAGAAAATGGATCACAAGGATAACTTCCGGGAAAAAAAAAAAACAGAGGATCACAAGGAATACTATGCAACTAAAACATTTATGGAGGCACTGACTAATTAGAACCATGAAATTTGAGATTCACGAGCAGATAAGTAGTACTAGTATAACATTATACTTGTGACAAGGCATGCAAAAAATGAATTTGGGGAGAAAGACAAGCAGCAAAATAAATCAGCATACATGATCCCTAGACTATAAACAATAACAAATAATAAGATGACTTCAAAATTAAACTAGCACTATCAGAATTGATGAGCACTTCCACCGAAAAAGTCTCCATGGACACACATTTTTTAAAAAATAAATAAAATAAATAAAAAAGGTTATTATCAAGTACAGAAAAAAGAGACTGCATCCATCTCAATCTAGAAGACAGTTATTAGAGTATGTATGTCTCTGGTTTGACTTTTTATCCTAAGAATCTTCTTCAAGAGAAGCTAAGCCGTGCACAGACAGGAGGCCTGCAACTATATACTCCACAAAAAGAAATGAGACGAAAAGCCTCACAACTCATAAAAATTACCATAATAAACCAACAAAATTTTCATTTACCCCTACAATCATGGCTAAATCAATAATCTCCTGTCCAAACCCGTGTCAAATCGTCAAGGAACATACCCAGATAAACCAAATAATATCTCATCAAGCCTTCCACATAAAAGGGAGCAGCCACTATTTCACCATACATAACATAAACAACCTCATTTTTGTGACAACTATAGTAATCAATGGGGAATGAACATTAGTGACAACCTAGACAGGTAATATGTGAACAATTATCTGACATAGAATTTAATATATCAAGTGTCAATATAAAGGATCCCTTGCATTCACAGAGAAAGAAGGTTCAGTGATTGGATTTTATGCCCGAAAAAGGATAACTCAAGTTTCAATGTATCTAGAATTTGTATTTTCTCGTAATAATAGTAGATGATTATTTATCGTGTGAGTACCTTTGCAAGTCAGGCATATTCATGCGACCATATTTCCAATAAAAAACATAAGCCTACACAATGGTAAGATACATTACTGGTTAACAAAATTACTCACATTTTGCATGTTGTTATTAATGATTCTATCAGGTTCTGACTGCTTGGAAATGAGATTTTAAGATGGATGCTTGAAGTGAATAGAAGAGATAGGATTGCAAATGATAGTGTGAGAAATATTTAGAGTGGCACCCATTTGTGAGAAAATAAGAGAGAGTGGGCTTAGATGGTGCGGACACATACAACGAAGACCCATAAATGCAACAATAAGAAGACAAAGGTTAGTTCTCATAGAAGGTAAGAGACGAATTGAGTGACCAAAATTAGCTTGGGATGAAATTATTAGAATTAATTTTAGAAAGTTAATATAGTGTTTGAAATGACGTGTAATAGAAAAGAATGGAAAAAGAGATTTCACGTGGCCAACCCCAATCCCATTCACTTAGGATTCAGGCAAGGATGATGATGATCAAGTTTTGATTGCTTCCTCTTCGAACTAAATTGTTCGCCATTTCTCTCACTAAGGCCAAGTCACAAACACACACGAGCAGACAGAAACCACTACTCCATCATTACTCTGCCTGCTGTTCAATTGAGCTATGAATCAAAATCCTGATCTTGAGGAACCTAACACGGTCAAGTGTTATAGTTCCGTTCGTCCGAGGAAAGTCCATCATGGTGAAAGGGGATGACTTCTGATTCCAGTGAATGCCATCAATTTCATTCTTCTTCTTCTTTTTCTTTTCTTTTTTTTTTTTTCATTTTTTTTTTTTTTCCCCTTCTTAATCATTGTTCCAGGCATTATTATCATATCAACCATCCAAAATATCTGATATTGCTTTTAACACGAATTGGCTGCCACTATTCAAAACTTTCAAATCATTAATTGTCTTTATCTTTACCCAAGTATGCGATCATGAATTTGCATCCTCCATTTATTGCCTCAACACCTATAACAATATTCTATTTATTGCAATCTGGTAGTTTATTAAGTGTGCAAGCATATCATACAATGCTAATAGAGAAGCAAAAGACGTTTGAAAGCCAAAGAAAATAATAGACAATTATAAAATGACCATAAAACCCAAATTTCTAGTATAGACTGTATAGTTTCATTTTTCTTTGTTTCTTGTATTTAGAAGCATCTTAAAATTTCAACAAAACCATAGATAATCCAAAGAATCGGGTTTTAAATCAAACTTCCAATACATCATTTCATAATTTCATATTTCTCTGCATAAACATTATAAAGTGCATCATCAAAAAGCAAAACCCAACAAAATTAACAATACGCCATACTCAGTTCCTTGCATTTCCTTCAATTAAAGTCATCAACAAACTATACAAACATACATACATACATAACATATATGCACATAAAATTTTAAAAATATTCACATAAATCCACGACAAATATCACTATCTATGCTTCCACTTACCAGATGATTAACAATATGCGACCCAGACGTGTTCCCCCGCGAATTACAGAACCACTTGCGGCAGGACGACACGTTGCACCTCACCACACACGCTGGATTCTGCACCCCACAGTACCGACAGGCGTGTTCCGTGAAATCACCCTTACCATACTCGTAACTTTCATCATCCCCAGTCTCTTCAAAATTCAATCCACTCATTCCCGCCGCAATGGCATCCACCATCGCCTGATTACCACTACTTCCCCCTCCACCACCACCACCCCGTCCCTTCGTGGCCGTCCCGGAGGTGGTGGAGACCGGCGAAGCGTCAGACTGGTGATCGGATGTGGCTCTATCGGCATGGTCCGACACGGAATCGGAAGGTGTGGGCCATACTGAAGATCGAATTGGCTGCGAGAGTTCTTGAAATTCAGGGTAATCGAAATCTTCGCCCTGCGTGTTGAAATCGAGGAACGTGTACGCGTCGGTGCCGGTGTCCGGCTGCGACGCCGTCTCGTAGAGATTGTTCGCCTGAGAATCCATCAGAAAATCGAGAACTTCGGTGTTCTTGAAGTGTAGATAGTGTGAAACTAGGGTTAGGGTTACCTTTGGGTTTTTTGTTTTTAGTGTGATAAGAATTGGGGAAAGGAACAGAGAGATAGAGGGGGACTGAAAATGCGATGTGTGTATGTGTGCGCGCGACTGTGCGAGGACGTAATGAAGAAGGAGAGATCACGCGCTACTTGCCGAATCTACTAATATGGGCACGTGACGCTTTTTAGAGCTTGTAGGCCAATTCACCGAGGCCTACTTGTTTGGTTCCGTTTTGTTTTAACTCGGAATAAAATAAAAATGTTTTATTGTAAAGGGTTTTAAACTACGATATAAAGCAGTGCGGAAACGCATGTCATAGGTGGAGCGGAGTAGCGGTAAAAGAATTATAAGGATGCAAAGTGTGAGAGCAATATTTGTTTAAAAGAATTATATGACTTATTAAGTTTTGAATTGTAATGAAAAACATATTTGGTAATATTTATTTGTTATAAGATTTTTGAAAGAAAAAACATAAAAACATATTTTGTAAAAAGAGTATTGCGAGTTTGAAAAATGTAATGGTTAATTTAAACTTGTCATTTAATAATTTTTATTTATTTATTTATTTTTTATTATTCATCGTTACAGTACCTGCTGTTACAAAAAGAAAATATGTAAAAACACCAAATTGATTATAAAAAGAAAATATGTAAAAACACCAAATTGGTATTTCAATTTTTGGCCATTATTCACGAAATGTTTCGTTCTTGTGCAAAACGAATCATATTTTACCAAACACGTTTTTTCATAGTGTCAAAAAATGCAAAACATAGACTCTAATTCAATGGGTATTGGAAAGTTGGGTTGAATTGCCAAAATTTCACCTGAAGTCGAGTAAGTTAAAATGTAACTTATAAAGAAGTGCTTTAGAAAACTTGTGAGTTATATAATCGGTCCCCATTTCATATACGGAAAATTCTCTATAGATGATTCTAGAAGGATTCAAACTCCTAGATTTTCAAAATGTGAGCTTAGAGTCTTTATCATCACTACGCTATGCCGTTGGGGTTATTTTCTACTAATATTATAAAGCATGGACTGTATTGGGTGCCCAAATTAGTTAACATTTAAGGTGAAGTTGGGTTCTTTCAAAAGCTTTTGAAGAAGGGCTTATTGCACTGCATTACTAAAAATTTACATGGTAGCAGTAGGGAACTGTACGTGGTACATCACAATTTTGACTATTGTGCTTCCAATTAAGGTCCGGACACCTGAATGATAAGTCAAACGACTTTAACAATGCAATTGTTACATAATTTTTTATTTTTTTTATATTTTTTTTTCCTTCTGCAAGCAAACTAGAAAAGGGTAGTTTGATAAATAATGTAAAAGTTTTTAAACTTTAAACCAAGCAAGTGGTAAAATTAAAAGAAAATTTTTTAAACTAGTGACACTTAGATTAAGGATAGAATGCAGAATTTTACAGTGTTAACATATATATATATGTCTGTAAAATGAAATGCAAATATGAAATGAATGTACATTCACGCTCGTTCGAAAAATTGGATGCTCTACCACCGGATAATGTCCCGTCTGTGTCCTCACTTCAAAGGAAAAACCTGAATTGGCCAGTGGTTATAATAATTCAACTGTTCTGACTTGTGATGTGTTTGCTTTTTAGAGTGGACAATGGTCCCATGGATAACTATTGGAAAAAAGTTGTTCTAATTAAGAACTTGTCAAATCTTTAAAGGAAGAATATTATTCTTTTCGAAAGAAATTCACCAAACGCTCCCCATCCGTTGGATGTTAAAATATCCAATGGATGGGATGCCATTACACATTTAAAAAATGATTTATTGTGAAAAAATGTTACATTTAGGTTGCCATTAGATATTATGAGTGTGCCCAAACAATGCTTTATATTTTGATATTGCAACACTATTATTATGAAAATGCAACATACTTTGATAATTTATCACCTTTTTTTCGAGATAGTGTAAAACCCTAATTTTTGAGAATACAATCCCCATTCCTTCGAATGAGTAGCAACAATTACTTCAAAGTAATGGATGTTGCATTCAAGGACGGATCCACCGTGGGCTCGGTGGGGAAATCCCGCCCCACTAAAATTTTTTGTTATTGCATTTTATACCCCTAAATTTATATTTTTTTGCATTTATACCCATAAAAATTTAAAATTACCCCTACTAAAATTTTGAAAAAAATGCCTCTAAATAAATTTGGCCCCCCCTCATATAAATTTCTATATCCGTCCCTAGTTGCATTCTTAAAGTAAAAGTATTGCAATATTTTAAAGTAACGATATTATATTCGTAAAGAAAAAATAATTTTTGGACAGAAATAATTAACTAAGGACTCTAACCGAGCCATTTCTGAGCCATTTCTGCCCATTCATAGCATTCATGTGGGACTCATGTGGATTCCATATCAATGCATCATGTGGTTTCAAAGGCATGAGCTAGAATGTTCAGATAGTTAATTTCTACCTCTTAATATAAAAGTGTCATATGCTCACAACAAATTACATTACAAAGCTATATATGTACCGAAAATATCTTCTCCTCTATTACTATGATTTATGAAACCATTGAACATAGTACACAAGCTAGTTATAGGGTAATATCCACTGTCCCTTTTTTTTTTTTTTGGTACTCGTTGGTGTCCAGGTCAATTTGCTCGCACTTTAATTAATCCTAAGAGATCTTGAACTAATGACTACTGAGGAGTAAACTCAAAGCCTGCCGAGCTGAGCTATCTTGTAAGGTTCATTTCACTAGCAGCCCATGTTACTAGTCAGAAGTAATATCATTATCCCATGTTACTAATCAAAAGTGGTGTTTATCAATCATTTTCATCTGAGCCCAATATTGGTTTAAACCCATTCCTGTAAGACACCGCTTTATAGATGCTTCCTTTCTCCCAAAGCAACTTTTTAATTGGCAGTACTTCATCATCAGTTATTTTCTAATTACCTTTTTAGAACGAACAACGTGAAGTGCAAATTGCGTGGCATTGAAATTAGTTCACAGTGACCAAAAAGGTTGGCCCCCTAAATAGCTTTTGGAGAAGGGCTTATCATCATGAAACTATTGAAAATGAAAAAGCAAACCACATAATAGTTTTTTTTTTGGAAAATAGCAAACCACATAGTTGGCTTCATTATAATGTTGTGGGCTCTATTCTAGGCGGGGATACAACATTGTGAGACACGACACTTCATTAGTTGAGTGTAACATTATTCGCGAACAAAATATCATATTCTAATTATTATAGGAAAATATTATCTTTTAAATTGAACGTACATGTTCTGTTTGGTTGGTGGTGAACGTGGTGATGTCGTTGGTGACTTTTGTTTGAGACAGAGAAGTTTTGAGACATGAGAGAGAGAAAGTTGTTCTTCTTAATGTGACGTGAGGGTTGGGATAATCCTTCAAGACAAATTCCCGTATTGTCAATGCCCCTAAAACTCAAAACATTAAAAAACCAAAGTTTCTTTTTGATGAAGTTAAATTTCTAAATAAGTTGGCAGCTAGTTTTGGAAAATTTTGGTTTTTTTTATTTTTTTATTTTAAGTTGTCAAAAAGAAAAATTAAAGTTACTTAAATGGCTTTTTGTTGGGATTTCTCAAATTTTGAAAATGGCAATAGAAAATAAAAAAGTCAAAGTGTTATCAATCAGGACCTTAACTTTTAAGACAGTATGTTATAACGTGCCTACTTTAATAGCCTTAGGTAAAAAAAAAAAAAAAAATCTTGTATAGTCATGCATTCTTAAAATTTGATAGAGCAATAAGGGTGATAGTACTTTCTAAACATTTCAACGTGTGTGTGAGAGAGTTTCAAATAAAAAAAAAGAAATTATTAAATTGAATAACTAGATCACACCCATGAATTATACATAATTTTTTCCAGTAATTATACATGTCATTATTGGTTACCAAATTATAATGTGAGTTTTACCCCCTCCCTTGTTGAAACGTGAAATCATTTCGATCAAATTGAAAAATGCTATAGTAGTAGGAAGTTCTATTTTCAAGCGAAAATGAAAGTGTTTGACGTGAACAAGCAGATAAGGCTGAAAATGAATCAATTAACTTCTAAAATTATGAGTTGAAACAAACAAGGCTTTAACTTCTAAGATTATGGGTTGAGACAAACAAGGCTTTAACTTCTAAGGTTATTGGTTGAAACCTTAGGGCATTTAAATAGCTTCTATGGTTATTCATGCATTATCATAAATTGATAAAGCGAATATACAGGGTTGCAACTTGGACAGCTAACATGAGCCCAACTAGAAATTTTTTGAATTTGGACAATATTATTTGGAATTCAGTCCGAACTTGGGTTGAAAAAGAGGAATTCAAATTCATTTCAATTCGGGCTCCGGTTCAGGTGCCGAGCAACCTGAAGCCCACCCCATACACGTCCCGAATTAGTTAACTCAAATAATCCAAAAATTGAACCCGATTATATGTATATTTTGTTTTCCTAACTAGTAATTTATGTACATATATTTGTATTGATTGCATATTTAGGTAATTTTTAATATATATTCATGAACCTAAAATCTCTAAGTTGCAAATCTGAATTCAACCCAAGTTTAAAAATTTAAGAAATAGATTTAGTTTACGTTAGATTAAAGGTCAGGTTAAGATTAAACACTTCGTATCTTGGGTTAAATTTGAATTGTACACCTCTAATCCGTTTATTCCTTCCGAATTATAGTCCTAGCAAATAACACACTTCATATCTTGGGTTGAATCCGAATTATACCTCTAACCCCTTCTAACCTTTCTGAATCATAGTCGTAACAAATAACACACTTTAGATCTCAGGTTGAATCAAAATTGTACCTCTAACTCCATCCAAGCTTTCCGAATTATAGCCATAACAAATAACACTTCATATCTCAGATTGAATCCGAATTGTATCTCTAACCGTCCAACCCTTCCGGATTACAGCCCTAGCAAATAAAACACCACACATCACTAGCTGATAGTAATGAATTATAGATGATATATATATTGATATATACTTGTTGATATTAATTAGTATGATATTTCAATTTGTGGGTTTTATATCCCTATATATATTAGCACATGCTATCCCCCTATTTCTATTAATAAGTTCTATTTTCAAGCGAACATAGGAGGCATTTGATGTGAAGTGTGACCAAGCAAATAAGCCTGAAAAGGAAACAAATTAACTTCTAAGGTCGTAGGTTGAAACCTACATTAACGCTAAAGTCATCCCAACTGATGGACATCTTTTGGCAATATTGCATGTAATATATATATATATATATATCATGGCCATATATGATACAATGACACCAAGTACACTCTCGGCGATCCTCTCATTTTCAAGCCTTATCATGCTCTGTTTTCTTGCAGATAACATTAAAAATAAAGGGCTCATTTTTGGTTTCATACCCTCTCTATGTACAGAATCAAGACAGTCAAGGGACATATAGGTCTCTCAAGAGAAAATATTTTAAAAAAACTAATAATTACCCACAAAATTATCAAAGATTATTTATAAAAATGTAAGAAAAATATTATATGAATGCTCACCCTTATAGCAATTCCATTATCTATATATCAAATCTCAAATGGTGATGAGACTTAAAGAGAGAGAATATCAATCATCATTGAGATTATTACTGTATATATACATGTATATAATTTTTCACATGAACGGTGAATTTTTACATGCCAAAAAGCCTAGATGAGGAAAGAAGAGAAACATTTCCATCACCTGCATAATTTAGTTTTCTGAAAAAATGTGTTTTTTTGTTAGATAATAAAAAAAAATTACAAAGCTTTGTACTGATTAATTTTTTGTTTTTTTGTTCTTAAGGTAGCTATTTTCCAAAAAACAGATTTCATCCAAATTCAAAGAACAATCATTTTTCATTTTTTTTCATTTTTTTTTTTTTTTTTTTTTTCACATAATTAAACCAAACAAACCCTTCATTTATACTTTGAGCTGTCAAAAAATATATGCATCTCAAATGGAAAAGGGATCACAATAGAATCATCCTATTCAATAGCCACACTTCCACTATTGATTAACTATTTATTAGTCATAAAGGTGTTATAGTCCTATTCCTAAGACTATGAAAAGACAAATTCCCTCCTAATAAGAGTGCGTTTGAATGGGATGGTTCGGAGGATAATGAAAGAAAAAAAAAAAGAAATGACATGGCTTAAGTGTTTTAAAATAAGAGAAAAGAAATGATAGAAAGAAATAAGGAAGGATAATTCTTATCCATCATTTCGTATTTCTCCAAAATTGAAAAAATAATAAGAGAAAAGATAGTATTTAAGTAATATTTTCATAATCTCAAAAGTGCCTTCAACAATTAAAAAGATAAAATTATTATTTCACTCATATCCCTTCTACTTAAACGGATATGAAAGTAATTTAGTTGTTATTATTTCTCTTCTTTTATCCTCTATCCAAATAAGAATACTATCATTTTATTTTTTTTCTCTTCTATCTATCCAAACATAATTAGAGATTATTGATATTATTATTTTTTTTTTTCTTTTATAACTAACACAGTACTATCATTTTTTTTATTTTCACTCCTATGTATCCAAACAAGGCCTACAAAAGAGAGAACCACACACATCCTTGCTTATATAAGAAGAGGAGGAGGGAAAAAGAAGAATACAATATATCTTGTTTGGAGGAAAAGAAAAGAAAAGAAAAGAAAATAAAATGGTGAATTTCATGGCTTCAACTTATGTTCTCCTCTCTTTTCATCTCCTCTTAGGTCATTGTTCATCAGGGTCCACCAATCTCACACACAATGCATGCAAGAAAGCTGCAAAAATTGATCCAAACTTCAGCTACCACTTCTGTGTTGCACATCTTGAGCAAAACCCTAAAAGCAAACATGCGAAGACGCTTCAAGAACTTGGAGTCATATCAATTGCGATAGCCAAATCCAAAGCAAGTCACACAAGGTCACACATCAAGAAGCTTCTGAGAAATAATACAAGGTTTGACTCTTTTGCTGAGGGTTGCTTAAGGGATTGTTTGGATCTTTATTCTGATGCCATACAAGCACTAAAAGTTGCTAGGAGTGATTTCAAGTCTAAAGACTATGATGAAGCTGATATACAAGTCAGCTCTGCAATGGAAGCACCAACTACTTGTGAAGAAGGGTTTGGGGAGAAAGAAAGTGAAGTGCATCCTTTGACAAAGGAGAACAAGTTGTTCTTCAAATTGGCTGCAATTTCTCTTGCTTTTACCCAAATTGTCAATGACTGATCTAGTTCATTATGCAATATATATATATATATATATACACACACACAACATATGTGAATGTATGTGTGTTGTAAAAGTTTGAGCTAAATGTACTTTGAATGTTAGTTAATGATATATAAAATAAATTTTATTTGACCTAAATTCAACGTAGGCCTCTAGCATGGTACGAGGGTGAGAGCTCGAGCTCATTAGGACCATGTTGTGGGTAAGGTGTGTTTAAAAATTAAATAAATTTATACTAATATATATATATATATATTTTTTATTATTATTTTTTTTCTATATCGTATATCCATGAATATAATTGCACCGCTAAAAAGTTTAACTTCAAAAATAAAATTACAATTAATATGATTTCTGTTAGTTATAATCTTTAAATTGCTCTTCATGTTTCCATTCTTATGAATATGGGTTTGAGGAGAAGAAAGGAAAACAACTTGTTTTTCCAGTTTACTGCAATTTCTCTTGCTTTTACCAAAAATTGTCAATGTCTGAACTAGTTCCCAGCATGCTATATATATATATGTATATAATTTTCAGTGACATGTGAATGTGTGTGTGTATAGTTTTGGGTCTATTAGTTGGTATAAGGATAAAAAGTTTCAACCAGCAATTATAGGAACTCTGATGTAGGTGATAGTAAATGCTTGAGCTGTCAAATGCACTTAATAACATGTAAAATATACTTCTTCTTTCTTTTTTTTCTTTTTTCTTTTTTTTTTTAATATTAAATAGGGGAACGTTCGCCCGATTAATCCTTGAAGCTCATATATTTTTTTCTTGAAACTCGTATACTTTTTCTTATGCGGCAGTAAATGTATGAAATGTCAAATGTACTTTACTGCTACGTTTATTTTAATGTAATATTTTATTTAGAAAAGATTTTTAAATATTTTTCTTTTTCAACTTTTATATATATATATATTTGTGTCGATAAAAGTTTAAGTCCAAATTGAGATTGGGTTCATTAGACAAGACATGATAAATAAGTTATTTTTATTAAATTTTAGGACTAAGATTAAATAAATCCTTCTCAAAGAGAAAATTGAGTATTCAAGCCGGCCTGAAGCAATATTACGAATGTGCCCGCATTTGCTTGAATTTTGTGCCAGAGGATTTGCCTTTCTCTCTCCATTTCAAGTAAATATCTCAATGGACGCAAACTCATTGCTCTTTCTTGTAAACTTCTAAAACTAGTCATGTCAACAAGTCTCTTTTCAATATGATTCATACATAATTGATCTAAAATTCTAAATGAAAATTATTTTGTATTACAATAAAGAAAAGCATATGCACACAAGAGAAATCCAAAAATACAGGCAATGATACTGTAACTAAAAGCAACAATGACCTTCTAGGAAGCTACATCCTCCAGGCTCATCACAAGTACAAATAAATAGGACATTACATAATTCCAACAAGACAATGCAAGGAAGAACAATCATCAAAACAAAAAATGTGGCATTGCTCTTTGTTCTCCTTCTCCTTCTCCTTTTGCTTCCTCTTCTTCTTCCTCCTTATTATGAACCAAAATAGCCTTACCATCAAGGCGTTTTCGGTAGATCTAATCAACACAACCTGCAAACAATGCGCGGACAAGAGTACCATTCTGAACTGTGACTTCTGCGTAAGCTCTCTCCAAGCTGTTCCCATCAGCCATGCCACGAACCTTCAAGGACTCGTGATCATTGCAATGGGGCTAGCTAACCAAAATGCAACCAACACAGTCTCGAGCATAGACACTATGATGGGTAGCGAAGCTTTTGATCCTTTTGCCATGGGGTGCTTGAAGGACTGTTCGGAACTGTACACGAATGCTGTCACAACACTGAAATATTCTCTCAAAGCCTTTCTGTTGGAGGACTACGCTACTGCTAATGTGTTGGTGAGTGGTGTAATGGAAGCAGCAGTGACATGCGAGGAAGGGTTCACGGAGAAAGAGGGAGAAGTGACTCCATTGACAAAGGAGAACTATAATCTTTTCGAGTTAAGTGACATTGCCCTATGCATTATTAACTTGCTATCATTGAACTTACCTCCAATGTCCTCTTGAACTCGGTAGTGTATTGTTAAAGGAGAAGTAACTTCTCTTCCATTCTTCTGCTATTCAGGGCTATAAGATTTTTTTGAGTTAATATTCCTGATAGTTTTGTTATCCTATAAATTCAAAACAATCACGAACAAATAATGGACAATCCCTTGGAAACTCAAGCCAATCACAGATGCTAAACAGGTAGAGAAACCTAAAATAACCTAACTTTAACTATCTATCCTATGTGCAGCTCATGATTTGTGCGCCCATCTCCTTCAACAGCACGGGCGGGTTGGCTATTTTAAGCATTTTTAGTGGTGTCATTTAGCATGCATGGGAAATCCTGCTTCACCACTGAACAATCCTGTGTAAAGTGGCCACTATATTTTTGTTTATTAAACGAGATACGCAAGAGGGTATCAACACACACGGACAAAACATCAGACCAAGAGCCTCGTATCAGCTAGTTGCTTTCATGCAAAGTGCAAATAGATTGGGATTCAGCAAGTAAAATAACAGGTAATGTCAAAATATATTCTTAGGATAAACAGGTCAATGATCAGGAAAAAAATTCAACCATCTAATTGTAGCTTGATACTTCAAATATAGAAATTTCATTAGTGAAATGAAATCCCACAACTATATAAGCTTCAATAACCCACATGGTGGAAACTTTGAAGTGATGTAATGGTCACGACCATGCCAGCCAAGCCATGAAGATAGAAACCTCAGTGAACAGAATCTGGTATACGGCTAAATGCAAAAAATGCAGTTAGGTTGGAAAAATCCCCACTTCAAAAATCAATTGCACTAGCCAAAAAAAAAATCATCAAATGATAAATTTTATACTGTCATCATGTGATGAGGTTGATCAGGCAATATCCTTCTTTTTTTTTGGGTCAAATGAGTTCTTTACAGCATCTGTCAGCAAGCAATTACAAGTATGCCATCCAACACAGCTTCCAGCCCCTTGATGAATTTAAGGTCAAACAGGCACTCGTTTGCCATGGTAACGGTTGGAGAACTACACATAGAAACAAGCAAATTTCAGATCAAAGAAGCACTTTCATATATCCAAAAATTACACGTGCACTGGTTCTCTGTAGTGACAATCAAAGAAAAGCACGGATAAAGACGAAAATTTCAGAACAAAGATAGAGAAGCTGATGCTTGTGCTTCGCCCTGGACTCTATGTGATCTAGGAATACAAACAGTGCTTGTATTCATATGAGATACAGCTTCATGATGAAGCATAAATCAGGGAATTGTATCAATTATGATAATAGAAAGTGATTGAGGTGCTTCCTCCTACTAGTTCTGACTTCACAGCAATGCCCGACTTGACAGGAAGATGTCCTCCACAACCTTTTCCCGAGAGTAAAGAAATTAGGGTAATTCGTTCTGTTGAAGGTTCAGTTCCATTTGGTTAAGTCTCAATCAACTTCAAGTACGTATTTAAACACCATTGTGCAGCTTCAGGCTGGTCGTACTCTCTACGGTGTCAAACTTTTTTCCCAACTGGGAAGCACGTATCCCAGTAAATTTTGTTCTTTTGGTCACTTGTAATTTACAATTTTATTCTTGCATATGTATGCCCATATGATATTTCCTCATTGATCTTAGGGTGAACTATATTAAACCCCCCTTTTCTATATGTGTTTTTCACTAAATCCCCCTTTTCTATTTTTTTTTTCAAAAAACCCCCCTCAACTATTAGAGGGGGGTGATTTAATTTTCAAATATATATATATATATATATATATATATATAGCAAATAAATTTCGAGAAAAAAAAAACCTAGATTTATATTGGAAAAAAAAATTAGGCATTATTTCTGGTAGTGTCCCTTTAATAAATCTATATAAAATGAAAATTAATAAAAACCAAATAAATGAATGCACAATATAATTCTCAAATATATATATAGCAAATAAATTTCAAGAAAAAAAAAAAACCTAAATTTTTTTCCTAAATAAAAAAATAAAAATAAAATAAAAAAAACCTAGATTTATATTAGTTTGAAGGCTAGATGGAAATGAAAATATATTTAAATAATATTTAATGATACACATTATATATACCATTATATTATGATACATATTATATATAATATTATAATGATGGGTAAATAAAAGAAGTTGAACAAGAAGAAGAGTACATGTTGTTGCAATGGTTTTTTTTCCAATATAAATCTAGGTTTTTTTTTCTTGAAATTTATTTGCTATATATATATATTTGAGAATTATATTGTGCATTCATTTATTTAGTTTTTATTGATTTTCATTTCATATAGATTTATTAAAGGGACACTACCCGAAATAATGCCTATTTTTTTTTTTTTTTGCCAATATAAATCTAGGTTTTTTTTCTTGAAATTTATTTGCTATATATATGTATATATATATATTTGAGAATTAAATCACCCCCCCCCCCCCCCCCCCCCCCCCCCTAATAATTAGTTAACGGAAGTTAGTTAAATCACCCCCCTCTAATAGTTGAGGGGGGTTTTTTTGACAAAAAAATAAAAAAGGGGTTTGGTGAAAAACACAGATAGAAAAGGGGGGGGTTTAATGCAGTTCACCCTTGATCTTATAAACATGAGTTCACATATTGATGGGAAGGCATGTACCAAAGTGATTGTAGCATGGTGTCCAAAGCCCTAGCATGACATCTAAAAGATGGAGGGGTGGTGGTTCAATTCTCATAGCTGTCGATGCAAAACGAAGAAAAAATTGGACGGCAATGCTTTGCCCCTAAATTCTTGAAAACCTCTGAAGTATTCCTCTTTCTCATTTATTATGCATCTAAGAAAATCTAATTCTCTAAATCCGAAAACTTGTACACAAATATATAGAAAAAAATTAAATAAAAAAGGTCAGAAATCCAACGTGGTTCAGTTTCAATACAAAGTGCTTGTGAGACGGACCATTGTTTCAATAAATTGCTCCACCAATGTACAAAGATCTAGGAAAACAATACACAACTTCTTAATAAGCAACAAAGCGCCCACAAAGCTAAAAAAAGTATATACCTACATGCAAATAATTCATCAGGACTCTTTTTTTTTTTTTTTTTTTTCCCCTTTAATAACCATCACAGCTTTAAATTTCCATTTATATGTTACTTATCAAAAAAGAAAAAATTCCATTTATATGTTGATTAAGGCGTAATCTTTGGTCTGAACATCATCATTTGTTTTCTTATCTTACTAAAGGCATGGTCCACGTCTAGGCTACGTATTCTCATCTGACCACTGCAAGTGCCAACAGGGTTACCATACAACAATTTTTCTACTTAATATTTCTTCTTAAAATTAAAGTCCACCCACCTAGTTATCTTATTTCCTCAACCTCACCCCAATGCACTCCTACCCCTGACCCACCCATTAATGGGGCTTAAGAGATACCAATTCACACCATGTAAGTCTTTAGTGTCATACCCTCAACATCCACCTGCAGAGTGGCTGTTCTGGTGACGTCGATCTAAATTAGATGAAACATCTTTGTAGAAATAGAATCTATGCCCTGATCAAAAAGGAAAAATTGGAATCTCAAAAGTCACAAGGGCAATGGCAACTTAATTAGTCATTCTTATATTTGTGTTGACCTTGGCTTACACTCTGGAAATTCACTATGCTGCTTCAAATTATTAATTGTGGGATATTTCTAGGTTTTCTACTTGTTAATTGTGTTAAGGATCAGGTTCATTATAAATTATTACGATTAGTTTATTACAAATTGCTTGCTTAAATAGGGAAACCTTCTACTATTTTGGCTTCTATATGATCGTGACTGGAAATTTGGTCTTGAATATACAAATGACACATGATTTCCAAACCAAGTTCATTATCAAATTACATAGAGCACTAATCAACAAAAATAGAGGCTTCTATTATTGAATATGCCAAGCAGAAATCTGACAGAAGAAAATCTCTCTCAGAAGAAACAATGTTGTGAGTTCCAAATAAACTTACTGTTGATCTAATAAACGGATGTTGTAATAACCAACCAAGAACAGGTATCTTCTGCAGAAAAACTGCCAATGTTGGCCAGAAGCCACTGCACAAAACACCACATCAGCAACCCAAAAAATTAGTAATATGAGCATAAAACATGAAAGTGAAATCATGAAAATGAAAATCGAAGAAACCTGAAGAGCACGATAAACCCATAAGCCTCCAAAATCATTCCCATGATAGTCCACCCAATGACAACCAAGAAGAAGCCAGCACCAAATGAAAATGTTCCCTGTTCAATCATCAAAAGGCATCAATTGATAGAAAAGGAAGGACAAAGATGGCATTGACATGAGAGAGAGAGAGAGAGAGAGAGAGAGAGAGAGAGAGCAAACAAAACCTTATAGTTGCTACGTTTCATGAAAAATTGCAAGGAAGATTTCAGTCCAATGGTTAATGTCACCCCTGAGAAGAAGAGGATCTGATTCAGTATCACACAGAAACAACACAACGTTAAGCAGGCATCATATTGACAATAAGTAAAACAGGAAAGACAGAGTAATGGAGAAAATGAGCAATAAAGGACGATAATTGACACTACCACTTACATTTCCCACAGCAAGTAGTCCCTTGTCGAAGAAGAAAATGATTCCCAAGAATGAGAAAAATATGCCAAATCCTGTCAGTCCTAGCCCAATCTCTGTTTCATTACAGAGTTGCAAGTTCATCAGCAGAGCAGAATGGTCAGATGGATTCAATCCTTCTAAGATAATTGGAAAGCTAATTCATATTTATATGCATCTTATAAAAAATACAAATTAAGTGCAATAAAAGCTTGAGGTAAATAACATAATAGTTGTATATTTACCAAAATAAGACAGACAACTTAAAAGCAAATACGTAAGTTCCTTCTTCTTGAATGTAAAGCAAACCTGTGTGAAATTCTAAGTTTAACTTGACCTCCTAGCTACTATTTAAACAAAATATGCGCTCCACGGTTACTTCATTTCCATTTACATGACTTGTTTTTGCAATTTATTATTTATAAAAGAAATATAGCCTATAGGTGAATGACATACCTATAGTCCTACTATCTTCTGTTTAATCATGATTTCAAGTTTTGGTGATGGCTGAATTCAATATCAAAGCTGTTAAAATCACATCCTCAATTTTAGGTGGCTCAACTTTATCATATAATACCTATAAATTATAAATGAGGTCCCAGACAAAGACCCAAACTCCTGGCTGTAATTGCCTTAAATTCCTAATAATTAAATATAAAATGGAGGGATAACATTCTCAAGTAATGTCCTCTTTCCTATGTCTCTATAGACTAATAAAGCTGCAGCTGCAGCTGCAGCAGCAGCAGCAGCAAAAGTTTACAAACATTGCCAAGCATTTAAATATCCTTCATCAATATATAAGCATAAACCAATTATCTGTTCCTTTCCTGACTAGAGGGTTGTATTTCGGCGAAGCTAGATGGCAATGGTATGAATAAGTTTATTCTCATTTATTAGTAATGACTAATGGACATATTAAGAATTTGAGATCCCACAATTAGCACATTAAATACATAAACAGGGCTCAAATCTATATATAGCCATTTTTCTAAGGTTGGTTGACGGCTTTTTCTTAGGTACCAATAAAAGTATCATGCTTTCGAATAGCAGCTTCTAACCCTTGGCATCAAATTCAAGTGATCACTGCTGCAGGTGAAATGATTTGGGTCGGATTGATTGGGAAAAGAATCTATATTTATATTGATCCAAAAAAATAGAAAAAAATTGTAAAATCAAATTGCAAAGATTGGAAACAAGTTCAAAACATTCATTTATACAATTACTATTGATAAAACTTGGCAACTGACAAATCACCACATTCACATACCTACCAGTATAAGCATCACAGCCAGATCACCAGACAAAGGTGATTTAAAAACACTCTTTCTAAAGGAATTTATTTTTAATTTATCATGATAGGAGGAAATGGAGGGATAAAGCATAAGACATTTACAAATACGAACATATATATATGTGTGTGTGTGTGCATTGCTCCCCATTAATAAGCAATGTCTGTTCACTCACTTTTGCGGTCGTTCATTTCGAAGGAAACCATCGTGTTGTCAGATATAGAGCTACAATTGCAAATCCAAGCGATCTACACAGCTGCATTGCACGAACAGATCAAACCAAGTCAAATTTTATTATAAAACAAAACGAACAGTAATGCTGTTCAAATCCTTCCACTAATTCATGGCAAGGGATTAGGGTTTTTACTAAGAAATTACGTAAATTAAAGAGAGAAAATCATTTCAACAATTTTATGAATCACCTGTAACGACTAACGATAGAGAGAGAGAAATGTTGATTGAATAAACTAAACTTGTTTCGGAATCCACAGACCTAATCTAAATGCGAACCACGTAAACCGGCCTCAAAGCATTAGCTCAAGAGAGAGAGAATTTGTGTGTGTGTGTTTAACTGTGTGTATGTAGAGAGAGAACCTGATGAAAGTACAGAGAAGGTGTGTGTTGGTCACAGTATCGTCTTCTACGCGCAGGAATTGCTTGTGATTAGCTTAATGAAGTTCTGAAATTTCACGCTTCGAAGTTAGACTCCTTATAGGTGAAAAACGGCCGAGTCGACTCTGCGTATGGCACCTGAAAATTTTGGCCCATTAATTTGGAAAACTAAATTTTGACTTCATTCTATGTCCTTTTACCCTCAAAACCTCAAAACTTCATTTTTATGAAATTATTCCAATTTAAAAAATTAAATATTTTATTTTATTTTTTTGAGTATGGTATCTCCAACCCCCCGACCCCTCTTCTTTTTATTTTTTATTTTTTTTTATATCAAATTACACTTAACCCCTCTAAGGTTTGTAACAATTTTTTAAATTCTATCATTAAAAGACATTTTTATTTCAACAAAATAAAATATATATATATATATATATATATATATATATATAAGAATAAAAACGTGATTACAAATCCAACAAAGGAGTAATTTACCCTTTTTTTTTTTTTTAAGTGCACAACAGCATAACATTATTAAAACTTGGGGTGAACAACATTAAACCCCCCCTCTTTTATTTAGGTTAACACCCCAATTATATTTTATCAATTCATAACACAAGAACAGATATGAACCAATTTCATAAAACCTATATTCTAACCCAATTAAACATGCATAATTATTTAATTTTATGTGTTTAATAAATTCTGGAATTTCCTAGACATGTACAGAAATACGAATCAAAGGAAAAGAGATAGAAAAAGAACTTGCCTTAAACTTTCACATCAAAAGTTAAACTTCTTTTTCCTTGATCTTCTATCTACAGGGTTTTTTTCCTCCCTTTCTCTCTCTCTAGAATATATCACGTGAATATTTCTAACCCTCTTTTACAACCTATAGCTATATATTTATAGGCTAAATAAAATAACCATAACCCTTTTCCCAATCCAAGTCAACTTAAAAAATATATATATTAAAATATTAAAAAGGTAAATAAAATATGTTACGTATATAATTTATGTATATGTTTATTAAATAAATATATTATACACATTCCATTATTTATTAATGAATTATTCAATAATACTTAAGTTATCATAATATTATAAAGTAACTTAAAACATAACACATATCAAATCTACGTATATTTTTATTGTTTAAATATAAAACATATACATCAGATTAAATATTACTACCTAAGTTACCATAAAAGTAATTAATAAATTACTTTCCCTTTTATATATATTAAAAAGGTAAGTAAAATATGTTAAAGTATATAATTTATATATATGTTTATTAAATAAATAAATTATACACATTCCATTATTTATTAATGGATTATCCAATAATACTTAAGTTACCATAATATTATAAAGTAACTTAAAACATAACACGTATCAAATCTATGTATATTTTTATTATTTAAATATAAAACATATACATCAGATTAAATATTACTATCCAAGTTACCATAAAAGTAATTAATAAATTACTTTCCTTTTTATATATGTATATAATATATATCTATATATATACATACACAACTATCCATGGGTAATAATCCACACACATCCAACCTCCTATCCAAATAGTCCATGGGACCCAATTGGTTGGCCCATTACTACTAACCATAGCCATAACCATAAAAGAAAAATAAAATAAAATAATAAAAGAAAAGAAAACATTTAATTTACAATTAATCAAAACACCATTTAAGCACATAATCTAATTAAACAATTAACACATAGACAAATACAAATAATACATAGACACGTAATCAAATAATCAAAAAATACCTAATTCAATTAAACATATAAGTAATTAGTCAAATAATCAATTAAATAATTAACAATACAATTAAAACAAATAAATAAATACCAAGACTATCCTTTTAAAATTAGGGGTATTACAAAAAGAAAAAGAGAACGATGAGGAGAGAAAGAGAAGAAAAGAAAAGCAGTTGAAATAGAAGTGGTCAGAAGTTAGGAAGAAAAGATGAAGAAGTGGTTGATAAAGAAGATGTCAGAGTATGGTGTAGCGAGGTGGCGTGAAGGAAGAGAGAGTCAGAGAAGTTAATATTGATCAGAAGGCAACAATTGTGGATACACAATTTTGGCTATAAATAGCCGACTCTGAAGCATTCAAAAGAGAGTAGAAAGTTGGAGATAGAAAATAGAGAGTTAGAAATTGTTATAGTTTTTGAAAGTTTAATTTCTTGTGTAATTTTCTTTAAAGCTTTATTTAATTTAATGCAAGTTATTTCCACAAGTTTCATTCTCATTTAATTTCTCATTCAAGTATTTAATGTTTTATAGTTGTAATTTCATTTCCATAGTTCGTGACAAATCTCAAAATCAATATTTTTAAATCTCTATATTCGGAAATAGAAACTCACCTTGAATGCGTGGTTCAACCCTACTTGCCATTAGACATTTTTAGTTAAATGGTTGTAGGTATTTTATCTTGAAATGGAGTGTATTTGACAACGATAAGTCTATTAATACACGCCTATCAGAAATCATTAGTGTAATTATAGATGTAGCCACATTATCATCACAAATCACGATTGTAAGTATAGATTATCAACATCAAGAATGAGTTGTCTACTTAATGACAATTAAATGAAAGTGTAAAACCCATTCAAGACTACGTCATAACCCACCATATATATTCACAAATGTATCCAATAAGAGCACACATCAATCAAGAGAATAATACTAATTGTAATTAGAAGCATGGATTAACATAATCAAGCACAAATTGCCCACTTAACTACAATTAACTAATGACGAGTAAGCTAATTTGTAAAACAACTCATCAAGATTAAGCCTTTATCCATCAAATTAATTGACAATTATATCACATAAGTACTATGTCATGGCCATCACTAAACACAACTACAAGAAATATTTAGTGTAGAGTATAATTCTAAATCAATCACACATAGACATGCAATTTTCATATAGAATCAATGGAAGAATTAATTTTCAATCATCTAATGAAGAATAAAATCCCTAATTAATCATACATAGACATATAATCAACTAGAGATTTCAATGGAAGAATTTATTAATACAAACCCTAATTTGTCAAATTAAACATGTATATATAAAGAAATCACAAGGCCATACATTTAATTACAATATATTAATTCTCCAAGAAAAGAAATACAAAGGTTTAGGTTACATGAATTTAGGGTTCATCCAAGCCTTAAGTGAAGAACTAGCTCATGGAAGAGATGATCATCGTGTCAACAAGCCCAATCCCCATCTCTGGCCCCTTCTTCTTCTTCCTTGAATATTTCTCAAAACCCTAATTTTTTCTTTCTTTCGCTTTTTCCAGAGAGAACGATATATCTTACAGAAAAATAAAATAATAAAAACTCATTTCCTAACTAATGGGTCCTTCTTTCCCTTAAGTATAAACCCTATTGGAGGCCAATAGTTCACAAAATAAACCCAAATAAGAAAATCCCGTAACCAAGTAAACACTAAATCCCACAATGCTGCTAGAGGCTTGGGAATCGATCCCTTAGCCTTGGGGATCGATCCTCCAAGGGCATTTTTAGTTCTGTGAACAGTGGGGGATCGATCCCCAGGGGGTATTTTTTTGCACCTTTCTGCCAATAGTAGGGGATCGATCCTCCAGTATTAGAAATCTCTTTTAAGCCCCGTTTAACTCTATTTTGGCCCCGGGCTAATCAGTTTGCTTTTTGATTGTTGGGAACATCATCGAAGGCCCGAAAAACGGTAGAATTGACTGTTTTTGAAGGATAAGCGCACTACACGAACAATGGGTTGCGGCCTCTTTTTGCCATTTTCTAAGCTTTTTTCCGATTGTCTTTGCTTGACTCCAAAAATTGCGGTAATGTACCGATTTAAACCCGTTTGAACTTTATTGCCCCGAAATACACATAAACATAAATTAGGACTAAAACGTGAAAGTAAGATAGATGCAAGGACTAAAATACCCTAACTTTGGTGTTGAAATGTGCAACATTTGAGCACTTATCACACCCCCAAACTTAGATCTTGTTAGTCTCTAGTAATAAACTACAGTATGAAAATGCAACAAACATATATACAACTATAAACTAATAAAGCAAATAAAGATAATACCACTTTCATAGGGATCACGGTTGCGTTTAGCATATGCAACAAGCCTTTTAAACCCCTAGTTTACCCCCAGTGGACGAGTGAAGTCTCGTGAGGGTTTCCAGAAATGGTATCCACAAACATCAAAGGCTTTTTCTTACTTGAGAAGCAAATACACATATCAAACAAGTATTGAAAGTAGACTACTTCAAGTATGCAAATTTCTACCATTTCTAAGTTATTCTCAACATTTCAACATCATGTAAGAAAAAATGATCTTCCACACATCAAGCTAGTTAATCATGCAAATTGAATCAATTTTATCATCCTTTTTGAGTGAATCGACATCAAAATGTGTTGCTATCTTAGCAAATCAAAATAATGGCACAGTCTTACCTTCAAACTAGCACATAAATATAGTGTCAATCATTAAGACATTGAATGAACCTTGTTTATTTAATTTATTTGCAACATGCTCTCTTTGTTTTTTTTTTTTTTTTTCTTTTTATGGGATCTAAGATAAGAGTATGGTACAATGTAGTGATCTCTTAAGCTTTCTAGAAGATCCATTAACAAGCGTTAGGTCAATGACTCCCAAACCGGAAGGCTTTAGGGTATTAGGTGTAAAGACACCCCTAAGGACTTACAAGCTCAAATCAACTTGGTTACAAATCAAAACAACTCTTATCCTATCATTTCCCGTTTTCCCACATTGGTGAGAAACACTCACTTTTCTTTTCTTTCTCTTTATCTTTTCCTTCTTCTTTGTTTTTTTTTTGTGATGGCCCTCCACTTTTCATGCGAGATTTCGGTGCTTAATGAGGCACGAATCCCGATTACTTTGTAAAGGGTTTGTTATTTAGCATGCAAGGTCATTTGTCAATAATGAAAGCTTTCAAAGTCTACTAGCTCAATTAGGATATAACCAAAACATTAATCAACTAAGAATGTACCCCACAAATTGAATGCTAGTGTACGCAAGTGTAAGTATAGAATTCTAGAATCAACTCTCAAAGCATTTTCAACAAGTATGATGATGTGGACCACA